TTTATTGGGCTGCTTTGTAATATGACATTATAATAGAAGGAATTTATTCTTGTATCGTTTTCTAAGAACTGCTACACAAAGTGACTCATAATCCTTACAAAACTCTATAAAAGAGAGTCAATTATTTTCTCCATTTTACAGAAGTGGTCAAAGCTTACAGACACAGCTTGCCTGAAGTTATACAGCCAGCAAGCAGTAGAAGTGGGATATGAACCCAGGCAGTCTGACTCCTGTGCTTTTAACCTCTATGTTCTATATTTTTGCAAATTTACACGGGCTGAGGTATTGAAAACTGGTACAACTTTTTGGAAGGGCAAGGAGGCTAGGCCATCCCTACAGTCACCAAATCCTCAAACTCCTGGCTCACTACGTTACTGAGAATTTATCTGAAGGAAAGCTGTAGCAGGAGAGCTATGTGCATAAAGATGTTCACTAAAGGCCAGGCGTGGTAGCTCAAACCTGCAGTCCCAGCACTTTGGGAGGAAGAGGCGGGCCGATCACTTGAGGCCAGGAGTTCAAGACCAGGCTGGACAACATAGAAAAAAGCCATTTCTACTTAAAAAATTTAAAAGTAGCTTTTTATTTTATTTTTTGGGGGCTTGGTGGCGCTTGCCTATTTACACAGGGCTGAGGTACTGATTCTCTTGTCCACCTACTCAAGAGGCTGAGGCAGGAGAATCACTTAAGCCTGGGAGGCAGAGGTTGCAGTGAGCCAAGATGATGCCACTGCACTCTAGCCTGGGTGACAGAGCAAGACAATGTCTCAAAAAAAAAAAATCACTAAATTGAAATTGTTTATATGACCAATAGAAAAATAATTAAGATGACTTATGAATTTGATGAAATATTCTACAGTCATTTAAAAATGAGAGAACTATGCCAGGTGCTGTGGCTCATGCCTGTAATCCCAACATTTAAAGAGGCTGAGGCAGGAGGATTACTTGAAGCTAGGAGTTCGAGACAAGACTAGGCAACATAGTGAGACTTCATCTCTACAAAAAATAAGAAAATTATCTGGGCCTGGTTGTATGTACCTGCACGCCTAGTTACCTGGGAGGCTGAGGCAGGAAAGCTGAAGTTGCAGTAAGCCATGATTGTGCCGCTGCACTTCACCCTGGGTGACAGAGACCTTGTTTCAAAAATAATAATTATTGTATTATTGTTATGGTAATATATGAAAACAGGGAAAGTTTATAACACTAAGTTTAAAAACACAAAGTATACGTACATGTACATGTACATGTATTTGGAAATGCATAAAACCTGTGTCCACAAAAGCAACAAATTAAGTAATATCAGGAAATGATAACAGCTGTACAGTCATGGAAAAACTGGTGACATTTTTTTCTTCCAAACATTTTCATGAGGTTTACAACAACAAAAAAGGAATCAAACACACCAAAAACATATCCTATTGACAAATGTCCAGAAAACGATGCAACAGAATTATTTTCTTACTTCCTCAAGACTTGTTTTGGAAGATATGAGTGCTAATATGCTCATCTACATGTAAAGTTATTAATTTTAAAATAAGACAATAAAATAACATACATTTTATGGGCCAATATAAGACACACGCATACACGTAGAAGGATTATGAAGGACATATCTATAGTGGTTGTTATCTCCAAGTGGTGACATGAGAGAGCACTGTCTTATTTTCTTCTTTAAACATTTTTAAGTTAGTGTTATACATATATACTGACTTCTAATAATATTTTTAAAAAGAGTTGTACAGGTAAACTATTTCTGAATTAAAATACTCAAAAATCACACATAATCTTGGCAATCAAATCCATGACTGCATTGGAGAATACGACAGCTTTCTCTTATCATTTATTCTTTATTCAGAGTTCACTAAGTCTATTCCTTTGGCATATTTCCTTCTCAACAATTACCTCTCATGCTAATAATCCAAAAATGACTGATGGAGCATATACCTACCTCTACTTTGTATACAAGCCCAGTACTTACACACTAACCAATGAATCCATATCAAGAAAGAAGGCCATTCATAATAACTATTACGTGGACTTAAATATACTTTGCTCAGTTAATACTTCTATGAACTTTTAAAGCCTAATAGGAAAATACAAGCTTAGAAAGGGTTAGTCACATTCCCCAGCAATATAATAACAAACATAATCCTATTATATACAAATATCTAATATTAGCATTAGAAAGAATCACTTTTATTAAGTACTTTAAATATGTTTCTAATGTTTTATAAAAGAAGTGGATAAAATCTTGATGAGATCTGAACAGCATATGATCTTGAGAAAATCAGAAATCAGACAAAAGAATTAATGAGTACGAAAGCAGCAAAATATTAAGAGTCAAAAATCAGAAGTTCTTTAGGGGAAAAAAATCCATGTTAGGAGGAACTAAAGGATGAGCAAAGATTTTAAGCCTAGGATAGTCAAGAAATGTTCACAAAAATAGATAATAATGATGACAAAACATTAAGGAACAATATATCTGATAGAATTCCAGAGCTATCAGAGAAGAAAGGAGAATGTCACGTGGTGCAGCAAACAAGCAAAACAAAACCCTGTTAAATTCAAAACCATGAACTGAATTATTTAAAAACTGAAGGAATTTCATCTATTTAGTATGGTTTCAAAATGTGGGTCTGCATTAAAGCATGGGTGCTATGAACATCTTAACATGTTCTATCACATGAGTACTAAACTGAGTATCCTAATTGAGAAAGCTGTAAAAATTAGAAAACAGATGAACAGATTCACTACCTCAAATTTGATTGGCTAAATTTGAGACCATGATGCCCAATCTCATCCTGGCACAAGTGTGGATTGGGGATGGCCTGTCACATTTCTTTCCTCTAGTGAGTTGTCAAAGTTAAAAGCAGCATGCAGAAGCAACGAAATCATGCCATTCCTAAAATTTTCTGCCTATGTGAAGCATTATTTTTATTTTCTAAAACCATTTATTCTGCAAAAGAGTTCACCAAAGTTGCCATCCTTCCTATCAGCAGCCCCACCAGGCTCTGATGAGTGACATCCAGACATTTAAACTCAAAAGCTGTTTCAGAAGGGAGTTATTAAAATTCAAATGAGCTGGGTATATTGAAGAAGAAAACACTCGTTTGCATGCACACCTCCGCATTTGGCCATCCCATTTAGCCCCATAGAGCAGGGTCTGGTTTTGTTTTTGTAAATGGGCTTTGGAGGCGGAGGTCAGCCTCCCACGGCCCCCACTCCTCTGGGGTCATCATTAGTAATGTGTAAGGCTGAATAGATTTTCCTCTGAATCTAGTCAGCAAACCTGTCAAGACAAGAGCCCTCTCCCACAACCTGAAAATGCCAAAAATCTGACTGGTAATATGGTATTCTTAATACTTCATTTATTTGTTTTAAAATAGCTTTCAGCAAGACTGCACATAACAACACTGATTCCAGTTCCACTTGATATTTCAGCCTTATAGCAGAACATTTCCTGTTGTACCATGACTATGGAATCATAAAAACGTTACATTCAACCAAAAATTTCCCATAAGATTCAGAGAAAATTCATTTCTGCCAAGAAATATGGATCTGGGGAGCCAGACTCACAATTTAATCACTAGAAAAGAAAAAGAGTCTATCTTTCATTTGACCTTAAGAGTTTTTACTTTTATTTCTCATGAAAATATCTCACATCATTTTAAAATTTCATATCAATCAGCAACGTAACAAAAAATATAGCAGAAATATACACATATCCCTAGCATTAGTTTGGCCATAGAAATTTTAGATGCTTATTTAGTAAGAATTTCTTTCTAACAAAGACATCTCTACTATAATATTTAAGTGGATTTAATTTATGGCAACATAAACAATGAACTAACTGTACATTATGTGTAATATATAATCTGCTTATATATAAATATGTCATATACAACAATGACATAACCATTTGTCAATTTTTACCGAGGATAAGTAAATCATGCTAATTCAGGACCCTAGAATAATAGCACAAATTCTAGAAATTAACATAATTTGTCTCCAGACTATGAAAATATTCATAATCTGGAAGCTCCAGGGATTACTGTACCCAGTGGGAAATCAGACAACACAGCTTTAACTTCCCTTCCAAAGGTAAGATTTTATTCTTCCATGATGCTCACGAATCAAACTGCCACTTACAGATTTTTTTCCAGTTTTGTTTAAATTTTTTTTTCTTTCTAAATTTGGGATGGTCTTGCTGTAATACAGGCACTGATTTTGCCCAGACTGACCTAACCAAAGAAGACCGACCTAGCCAAGGAAGAATAAAATCAGCAAACCCATCAATGAAAGAATATCACATTAATGAAGTTAATTCCTGAGCCATGCATGTTTAGTTCTAATCTGTTTTTTCCTCATAGCCCTGAAAATTATATGTGTATTATTAAGGAGCACTGATTCCATAAGTTACATGCATTGTTCTGGCTCCAGTTAAAAACAAAAGGCACTCAATCTCTGTCTTCAAGTTGCTTGTACTCTAATAGGGGTGGCAGCAATACAGAATCACAAAGGCTCAAGTGTCTGCAAAGAAAAAGAATACAAACTAAAAATAGGGACTAGAGCCAGTGATTTCAACAACATAGAGAAATCATAAAAGATGCAGGGGTAAGACCTACTTGCAAGACAGATCCTGCGATAGAGACTGCACCCAGGTGTGTTTTCTCTTTCTAGATCACACGAAGTTGAAATTGATAGGAAAAGTAATCTGTGCTTATAACTTTTGAAGTGGCCAAATGGAAAATTAAGATTTTCACAGAGCCACCCATGGTCAGAGACAGTGATTCAAAGAAACCACACAATGTGTGTATTTATGTACTAATTATTGTAGCTAGCTGCTGGTATTCTCTATTGCAAAGATGGTTTAACAGAAGAAAATACTCACCTCTTTAGATTTGTATTGCTTGATTCTACAGAAGCATGCTTAGGGTATACAAATTTACTTATAATAACATGGAGAAAGAATGATAAAGTTCAAGAACTGTGCTCACTTGCCTTTTTTTTCCTCCTGTAATGAAGAAGCCAATGGCTGCTCCAATAAAACTGCTTTCAGGCAAATAGCTATAGTCAGTAGGAACTGTGGAGTTAGAAAATGATCAAATTAACCAGTGAACTTGGCAGGACTAATGAAGGAAAGATAATGATCTCATGCTGCCATATCAACCTAGAGACAAAGCCGAGATGTTTATGTCATTAATCTCAGCACAATACTTTGTGGCTGCAATTAATTTTATTAGAGTAAGTGACTGGCCTTGAAGTAATCACGTAAGCTATGCAAGCAAATCTAAAATGGTGGCAAACTTAGGAAAGGCTGGAAAAAAAAGTCACAGAGGATGAACACTTGAGTGAAGTGGTTAAAAAAACCTTTTCCAGGCCGGGCGCGGTGGCTCACACCTGTAATCCCAGCACTTTGGGAGGCCGAGGCGGGTGGATCACGAGGTCAAGAGATCGAGACCATCCTGGTCAACATGGTGAAACCTCGTCTCTACTAAAAATACAAAAAATTAGCTGGGCATGGTGGCGCATGCCTGTAATCCCAGCTACTCAGGAGGCTGAGGCAGGAGAATTGCCTGAACCCAGGAGGCGGAGGTTGCTGTGAGCCGAGATCGCGCCACTGCACTCCAGCCTGGGTAACAAGAGCAAAACTCCGTCTCAAAAAAAAAAAAAAACTTTCCACATTGTCACATCAATGAGCCCCAATCCAGTGACCTCCTCAGGGTCAGCAAGGAGTCTGCTGAGCTTCTTGACTGAGACCACTGTAGTAGGCACCACTTCAGGACATGCTGAATCAGATATATGAACCACAGAAATTCAACAACTAGTATTAACAGCACCAGTCCCTTACCTAAGGCAGAGACCTCTAAGTGACCAATTTGTGCAAATAACCAGATGTGGCTGCTGACCCGGAATGGTGAAGCAGTCACATTTATGCGGGTTCAGTCCTGAGTGTCTCCTAAATTCTTTTCTTTCCAGTCTCCCATAATTGTTTCATGAGATGGTTTTTACTGTAAGAAATGACTCAATTGGAAAATTCCATCAGGAATAAGTAGCTGTACTTTTCCAGTTACACAATCATTTTTTTCATAAGAACCTGGGTATAAGATGATTCACTAGTACTTGATTTGAATACATGTGGGGCAGACCAAGTGCCCCATAATATGGCAATTAAAAACCTACATAAAAAAGTAAAAGCCTGACATAAATATCCTATCTTACCAGTACACTGTGAGATCCCTGCCCTTCAAAACTAGTATTACCCAGGGCTTCCAGTGTGACTAAGTTTTCTTCCTTTTTCCATTTTAATATGGTAACTTTTCGCTGCCTAAAGTTCACTACATTGGGAAGACTGTGGACCAATGTCCTATTTCTATAGCTACAGAATGACTGAAGAACAGAGAAATAGTAATTACAGAGGACCACATTTATGGTAATGCCATCTCTAGACTACTTATCAGTGGGTAAGTGAAACTAAGTTTTAATAAGGAATCATCGATACCTAAACCTCTCTGGCCCGGGTCCACAATAGCCGGTGGGCCAAAATTCTATAAAGAACAAGGAGCAAATGTATTAACAGTCATTCCTTCCCTAGAAAATCTCCAATTACAAATGTAAATTAAGCATGTGGGGACTGTAAATATTTTTTACTGCTTTTACCAAAAAGCTAGAAATAGAAAAGGCCTTGTTATATTAAGAACTAGAATTTCAATTCAAAGGCTAAGAAGGTACATACCTCTAAATATACTTACCCCATTATTTTTTTCAAAATCAGAGGCCAGAAAAACTCCAGCCATATATGAAGAAACTTTTAATGAAACATAAATACTATACAAACCACCATTACATCTAGTAAAATAAGTTTGTTCCAAGCCTAAAGGGCCTGGTTCCCAGTCTAGATTTGTCACCAAATTAACTCTGTGTGTAACTCATGTAGTATTTCTGAGCCATTAATTCTTCATTTGTGAAATACGGGAGACTGAATGTCTCAACTGTTCTCTAAGGGAGGCAGAGAGAAGAAGTAAAAAGAACATGAGCTTTGGAGACCGAAAGATCTGAGTTCAAACCACGTATCCACCACGTACTGCCACATGACCCCGGTAAGTCAGGAAGCCTTTCCATACCCCATTTCCCTCTGATATAAAATAGAGATGGTAGTACCCATTACTTAGGGTTGTTGTGAAGATTAATGCTCTTAACAAAGTACAGAGTGGTGGGTCGTCAATCCCTCCCTTCTAGCTCCAGTGTTTTACGACTTTAATCTTACCAGAGGTTCTACTTTGACTTGAGGACAGAGTAGACAGATGAAGATGTCCAAGAAGCCAGATTGCATTTGACTGGAGACCAATCACCCCAGAGACACTGATGACCTACAAATAAAAAAGTAATGGTTCAATGATGGGATAAGATCCAAGTTCTATTCAATGAAAGGTCACTCACAGAAAGTCAACAGTCATTTAGGAGGCGGTGGCTTGGCTGGCAAGGAGCAGTCCTATGACAAGATGAAATATTATGTGTCTAGTACACTATACCTGGGTCATATACTCAACAAGTATCTGCTGAATTAATGAATAATTCAGTCAATCATTTAATCTTGGCAGAAAGTACTAGTGGTTTCTCAGGTTTCTTTGAGTCAGACTAGTCTCAAAAAAATTTTTCAAAAAAATGGCAAAAAAAAAAAAAAATCCAAACAGTAGAAAAGGGGTGATTCTTAAGATGAAAATACCTCTAAGAATGGAAGAAGACACATTTTGTTCTCTTTTGTAAATTATGCTCTACTGCTGCTTTATCATTCATAAGAATTTTTAAAATAATGCTTTTCATTTACAGATTTTTCTCCCATATTATGGCAACTTAAATTTCAGTAGAATTTTTTTTGAGAATATTTCTATTCATACATGAAAAAGGGAGTTTTGTCTGTTCAGAGATTTATGTTTACTTTTAAAAGCCTGAATTACTAAAACTCCTCTGTGTGGTAAGTATTATCATCAGCTACATTTTACAAGAATGAAAGCAAGGATGCTAAATGAAAAGAATAAAATATAAAGTTCTATATACAGTAAGAATACTATGTAAACAAAAGAATGCTTGAAAAGAAGTATGATCAAACATCACTAACAGTTGAGGAACATTGGTGATTTTTTTTCAGCTTCTTCATTATGTGTTTTCAAATTTTATGCAACAAATATAATCTTTTTTAAAATAAAATCTTAAAAGATAAACACATTTCTTAGCAGATTAATATGTCTATTCTTTAGTCAAGGATACCAATGACAATCATATGCCCATATAATTTTATCAGTGACAGCTGAATTAGTGTCTCTTGACCTTTCAAGATCTGCTGTGCCCTTTGATCATCTTCTATTTTTCCTTATCTTCAGCACCTGACATTCCTTGCAGAAACAGGCTTTAATTTTTAAGAAAAACCAATGCCAACGTAAGTTTACTAAAACCTTCCTAGCTTTCCTTTTCCCCCCAGAGGTGGTACGTGTTTGTCAGTGAACACAGGTCCATACATCACTCCCAAATGCCTCTTGAACTCAGCGGAAATAACCAGAGACTTTCCCATTTTCCAGGTAAAACATGTTGTATCATGAAATACAAAAAAAAAGACAACAAAGGGGGATATGTTTGCCCACCCAAGGATTTTAAATTCATTTTCTCACCTGAGTTAAGGTTCTAATGACTTCATTAAGTCTGCCTTGAAAATGAGAGGTCTGGATGTCTTCTGATTTCAGCTGAAAGAAGAAGAAATATCCGTCCCACCCACCCCCATAAAAACCTAAAGCGTTATATTTTCAGTGCATGAGCTATCCATTTTCTAAGCTATAAAATAGTTTACCATTATGTCCTTGTATTTCAAATATATAAGCTATGAGCTCCTCAAAGACCCATGCTTTATCTATCACTGATTTCCTGGTACCTGTTCACTATGGCGTGTAAGCAATCACTCAATATATTTCTATTGTATAAAAAAGGAGCTCCTTTAGAATTACTTATGAAGTTACACATATATATGTCCACTGTGAAAATATTTGGAAGTTAAAGAATAATTACATAGATATACATCAGACACTACAGATACAAAATGGAGTTTCTTGCAAATAACTTTTGCAATTTCTTATCATTCAATCATCTTTTCTCAGGCAGGGACATTTGTGGAGAGCACCTAAGTTGGCCAGGTTGAATCCCTACAAACAAAATAAAACAAAGAACAAATCTCTAAAGAAAGAATCCTTGTTTAAGAGCCATTATTCATATAGCAAGGCATTAAAAGCCTGGTATAACTATTACCATGAGCACATATTCTTCTGTCCTTAGCGTACTGAGACACTGGCTATTCTTCTCTTGCTATGTCTATGTACACATTTAGATGTCTTCTCCTACATGATTGTTTCTTTACCTGCATTACATCCCCTTCAGAGCCTACCAAGGCCACCATGCCATGAAGAGCTGCGAGACAAAGCATTGTGGGAGAGCCCTGAAAACAAAGTGTCAGAGTATGTCAACAGGGAATCAGTCCTTGGGTTTAGATCCTGTAAAACTTATTATGACCCAGAGAAATAAATGGTTGAAATGGGACCAAACTTTAAGTTTGTCAGATCATGGGCAGATCTTGCATTTATTTTTCAAAAACCAAAATGTTGTCTTAAAATTAAAACACAGACAAAATAGCCAGTTCAAAAATTATAATGGTTGGCAGAATGCATTATTTATAAGGGATTAAAAGTACATGGCCTCTTGCATTTAAAATTGCCTTCTTCTTTTACCATTAAGGTATATATCTCAGCAACTCCTAAAAATGATCCAATAAAGTTCTCTTTCCATTATAAAAATATGAAATAACACAAAACAGGTGACCTCTACCTCTGTTAGAACAATTCTGATCCAGGTAGGGAGTAGTTTGCTGCCCAAGTCTTCAGCTTTTCCATGTCCACACACAGACAATCCATGAACTATGTTTCCTAACGCCAGGGCAAAACCTGAAGTCTGATATAAATTAAATAAAAATGGAGTCAGAAAAAGAAAAACAAAGACACAGATTTGGAATGTTTGTAAACAGCAACATAAACACTTTTAGGACTCACTTTCCTAGTGACAAGCCTTATCTGTTATTTGAAAAATCAGAGATTTAGTTTTTCTTTCTTTTTTTTTTTTTTAAATCTAGAGTGGTTTGCATCATAAACTACAGGGTATAATTGCAAGGAATTCAACTTCAGGGAGTAATTTATTTTAGGAAAGTAATACTGCACTATTGAGGAGCTTAGCTCAAACAATCTGAAGAGGTTAGGGTGAAAATACCAAGGTAGACCACAGAAGGTCAATCGACTCCTAAGCAAAAAGAAAACATTCCATATAAGCACAGTATATGAAAATTTCTCCATTTCAACTTTGCAAAGAGTTTTCAAACTTCTCCGCTTCAACTTTTCAAAAAGTTTTCAGAACTTACTCTGAATGTAAGTGAGCAGGTATATAACTATAAAACAGTAACAATAATATTACAAGCTTAAACTAACGAATTCTGTAATAACCCATTATCATTGATAGTAAGACACTGGAGAAACCTTAAAGAAATCCACATGGAGAAATTCTATAGCATGTGTAATCAGATTAAAATTTTTTTTCAGGTTTTTTAATTGCAGCAATGTACACATAAAATTTATCATCTTAACTGTGAATACCAGTTCAGTGGCATTAAGTACACTCATACTGCTGTGTAACCATCACCACCAACCATCTCCAGAATCTTTACCTTGAAAAACTGAAACTCTTTACCCACTAAACAGTAACTCCCTGTTTCTCCCTTCCCATAGGCCCAGGCAACCACCATTCTACATTCTGTCCCTATGCTTTTGACTACTCTACGTACCTCATGTAAGTAAAGGCACACCGTGTTTGCTTTTTGTTATTGGTTTATTTCTTTTAGCATAATGCCTTCAAGGTTCATTCATGTACACTTGTACATGTCAGAACTTTCTTATTTTTTAAGGTTGAGTACTATTTCAGAGGAAACATTTTAGGGTTATGTAATTTCGTTTACAGGTACTTAAATTTTCCTATACATATGTGGTGATGAGTAGAGATTTTCTGCCTTGAATTTTCTGAAATTTGACTTTATCACAGTCTTCTATGTATTCTTCTCTTTACAAATTTGTGTTTCTAGCCTTATATAACTCTCATATTCCCTAGCCACATATTTTATCATCTTATAACTATGAGCAATAGCTGGAGAGAGAGAAAAGCCTATCAATACTCTCTTTTTTTTAAAAAAAAAAAAAAAAAAGAAGAAAAAATAAAAAAAAGAAATGTCTACAGAATGAGACAGGGGGATAAGGAGAGAAGAAGACATCTGTGACTGTTGGCTACGGCTGTGAGAGAAGAAAATCGTTAGAAGTTCCTCAGTTCTAGACTTGAAAAATATCCCATTATACTGTAATTCAGAGTAAGTCAAAAGTAGAACTTAGCAGTAGCATGAGACACACAGAGGGAAATAATTAGGGCACACATCCCAACCTGCTGGCTGTTCTCTGCTAACATTCGAAGTTTGTACATAACATCCTCAGCTTCTGGAGCTTCAATAATTCCAGCATTGAATGCTGAGGTACATACACAGCTAAGTGTGTAGGCAAGGACCTGAGAAGAAAATACAGCAGAAAAATGTGTCTTCAGGGGGGGAAATAAAAGAACATGGTTTAGTTGACAAGACAGTCTGTCCAACTTCCCCCCAGAGTAAGAACTGGATTCAAATACATTCACCATGGATTGAGCACTGTTTTGTTGCCTAACTTACCGTGTAGTATTTCATAACAATATCATGATAGGTATGATAATTCCTACTTTATAGATAAAAACTCTGAAGCTCAACTGCATGTAGCTAGCAAGTGACAGAGGAGGGATTCAAACCCAGGTCTTCAGACTCATAATCATAAATTTCCTTACCACATTATGCCAGAGCACAGCACCTATCAACAGGAGAAATAAACAGATTTTCATCACCAGTGGGTGCTACTAATTAATTGCCATGCATTCCCATCCAAGGCCAAACAGGAGAGGAAATTCAAACAAGTGAACACTGCTCCACTAAGATTCCCTAGGAGAGGTAGCAGAGCATAACTGGAACAGGAATATGGATTCTGGAGTAAGATAAATTGTATAAAATAGGAATACTAACACTTGCCTCATAGCACTGGTGTGGGAACTTAGTATGTTGATGAATGAATGAATAAAATATGAGTAAAAAAGAATGGTAGGAGTGGAGACAAGATTTGGGAATATGCCCCAAATTTACCATTTACTAGCTAAGTAACTTTGGCCAAGTCACCCAATCTATCTGAGTCTCAATTTTTGCACATCAAATTTAATCATACCCACTCTGCTACCTCATATATTTATGATAAAAAACCTCCCTTATAAGAATGCTGTAAGACAAAGTAGAAAAATTCAGCTTCTAGCACTGGTTGATACAGCATGAAAAATGTAAGTGGTTTCTAAGGTAGAAATTGAACAATAAAACATCAGAGGGGAGAAAAAAACTGCTTAAGGCCTTATAAATCAAAACATCACAGATGCATCAGTTATGAAAACGTTGCTTTCTTGTATAATCAATTTGCTCCTTGGTTGCAAGATTTTCTCCTTTGGCTTAAAAAAAATGCACTTTTAAATCACACTTTACACTGCTTTAAAAATGGAAATGTAGTGTGTGTCTTAGAACAAAACTTCATTCCTCTGTGCCCAAAGAAATTCACCAATTCAACAAGTCCTATTGCTGAAAGCAGAGGAGCTGAGCAGGGAAACACAGCAGCCATTATGTACTCATCAATAGCTCATGGGCAGGCTGGGATAAAATAGAATCTGTTCTAATGAGACAGAGAATCAGGCCAGGCCACGAGGTCATACCCTGCTCCTCTCAAAGAAGAGTACAAGCAGTCCAGCTTCACCTGGCCAAAATAAAGACGGGCATGACACATGCCTGACATGTTCCATCTAAAAACATGGTTAACACACATGAACTGGGCCATATGAACTCCAATTCTGCAAATTTTTGCACCATAACAGAAAAAAACTTTTCATTAAGTATAGTAAAGAAATTTTCCTCAATAATACTTTATGCTCGTTGACATTTTAAAAAATCAAATGTCTTTCGATCAGCACTTTCTGAAGCTTATTCCCAGATATTTTTGAAAGTTACAATTGGCTTGAGCATAATTCTAAAAATCTCTATTTACCCTTCTTCCAGAAATTAAGCTCTTCTTAGAAAGTGTCTTCTAGTGACGCTGAGCTAGGTTTTAGTATTCACTAAAGCCTCTTATCTTATATGACACATTTAAGTCTAAGTTGATTTAAACTGCCACACAATTTGAACATCTTATGATCTAATATTGGTTGTCACTCAGATTTTCTCTCTGAGGAATAATTTATTTTACAGGGTTATCAAAATATGAGAAGTCCAAAGTAAGTGGCAAAGAGACAGCAAAAGAGAACAGAGGAGAAAGAAATGTAACTTCCACCTCCTACCTCCTGAAACGTTCTGCTTTGGCTCCCACTGTCATCTAGGTACGCAGACAGCTTCCGAAGCGATGCTGCCACATGAATGCGGGACTGCGTTTGGCTGCTGTGGCTCATGAGGGACAGAACAAGTCCAACTCCCAATATACAGCCCGTGCTTGGAAGCCAAAAAAGATGAGGTGTTAGGATCATAAGAAATCTACATGATTGCTCCTCACTTACCATGGGAGTTTACAGTACTCTCACACCTGAGATGAGATGGCTGGATTCAAATTCTGCTGCCTAATAGTGTGCCCCACCGTCCATGATAAGTTCACCCATCTCTCCCCTCCAAATGAAAACCTTACATCAAAACTGGTATCTGTGACTGTGGTAGTGCTGTGTACCCCTTGATAAAAACAAAAGCAGGAAATAGGTTAACTTAAACTTTATGGGTGAAAAGAGGAAAAGGCATAAACCAGCTCTATTTGTGCCCTTACAGAAATGCTGTTGGTTTCCCTGTACCGCCCCTACCTGCATGTTGAGTATACTGTGATCAACTGCATAAGGAGAGAAAAGACTAAAATTCAGAATATGCGCTGAGGACATGTGACTAATAGCAGAGAATATAAATGCAAGGCATGATTATGAGGTACTGCTAAGTTTCATGTTTCCTAGTCAACTTCAACAAGTGGAATTTCTTTCCTAAAGAAATGGTGTATTTGTGCACAATGACATTAATCCTTCTCTCCCCTCTGATGTCGCAGAATACCATTGGGTCAGAAGAGAAAATGGACAAATGAAAGGCTTGTCAAAAGTTACCCCATGTGACAATTCAATTGAAATCTAGGGCTTTGTGCCCCAATTCTCCTGAATGAATACATATCCATTTAAAGAAAATAATTGTTCTCTCAGAAAACTTCAAGATAGTATGGTAAGATAATGCAGCTTATGGAAATGCTTTACTTTTTTTTTTTTAAATAAAGTTTTTGTCATTGTTTTTTAAACGGAGAAAATGCAGGATTTTTCAGAAATCAGCCTTTCTGGCTTGCCTTGCCTCCCATCATCTTATCTGCTGCTTAAGAAGGCATTCCAGGGCATTTCTTCAGTAATGCATCTCAATGCCCACACGTTAGGTCATTTTGCTCTTAAAAGGCACCTATTGCCTTGGTCAGTGTCAAAAACATTTGCATAATTTAATGAACGTATTAGTTACCTCCTCCAACATCTCTATGCAAACGGAGCATGCACATCTAAGAGCAGACACCCAGAAGGACAGACAGACTACAGGATTTGCTCAAGGTCACACAGAGAGCATCCAGCAGAGCACAGCCAACGCACGGGGATTTTTTTATTCTAGCCTCTGTCCCATCTGCCAAACTCAAGGCCCCTCTCAGTGCCCTGCATGATGCCATGATGGAATACATATGAGAAGGTACCATATCTCAAGTGTGTTTTTCTAGTGTCTGTTGCATAACAATCTGCCATTCAAAAACTCTTCCCAAAGAAGCTACTACAGTAATAATCCCTCATTAGTCAGGCAGAACTATTACAGCTTACGTACACTTAACAAGCTCAGCTAGCATAATGCATTTTCAACCAGTTAAATCAACCTCTAAGATCTCAAGACAGCATTCTTTTGAGAAGAATCACATTCACGGAAGAGGAAAGGCTACTCGATTAATATGAACTTAAAGCCTTCGTTATTATTTAGAATCTACAGAGAAGTTTTTTTTTTTTTGGCTATCTTTCTACATTGATGTACACAACAATTTGACAAAATCAGACCAAAGATATAACTAGACAAAGTTTAATTAATACTTTGACAAATGTGACTGTTCTTCCCTCTTTGACGATCTAACTGCTACTTACGCTTAAGTTTCAAATGTTGCTTCCTCAGAGACATCACCCTCACCCAGAAGAGAAATCTCTTTAACCCTCTCCCACAGCACCCAGAACTAATTTACTTCACACAATTTTAATTATAAACTCTGACAAAAATTATTTGGGGGATTATTTGATTATTATCAATTCCCTGGCCTGAAAGCTCCATAACGGTGGGTATACCTTCACTGTTTTCCCCTACCACAGTATCTGCTGCGCCTAGTATACACTTGGCATATGTAGGCACTCAACCAGTATTTATTGAAAGCTGAAGAATTAACCAAATGAAGACTCTTAAGAGTCTAGAGTAGAGAGATCTACAGAAGAAAATAAAAAGTGAGACTTGATTCTTACTGCCTCCTATGTTTAGTAGGAGGCAAATTTTATGACTGGTAAAATTCACTGAACGTCTCATGCAAGATTCAACCAAGAAAATTCAGTTTCTGTCTCTTGCCAGACTAATTTCAAAAAGAGGAATACTAGGCTCATCTGGAAAAATTCCTCTCAACACTCACTCCAATAAGTATTAGAGTTTATGTTTCTGAATAAAAAAGGAAGTATGTAAGTCTCACTTTTCAGGCTATCCTAGGCACACAAAAATCTCTACCCCCTAGACTGAAGCCCCTCTTTTATCATCTCAGGGGATAGAGGTATTAAGGCTTTGAAAAGGCATCTCCGTTTCTAGTTCACATTTACCTAAAATTTATCATAGCAATTATTACTATAACCTAGGCAAGGTCATAGTTCACTAGCGATTCTATTCATTGCTGCAATGGCAGTTCACTGACTGGTGTAACAGATGAATATATAACTACCTATGTATATATCTGTGCCAATGTAACTGTATGGCATATGCATCTACTGCCCCTTTAAATTAGGTCCCCTCCTATTTCATCTCAATTTTCCTGTATGTACCAAGAACATAGTCCTAAAACTTTATTCCTGATTTCCCTGATTTCTAAATCTTCTACATTTTAATATGTTTATTTTTGTCCTAAGTCTTAAAATGTTCCCCCATGTGCTTGGTTCGGCAATTCCGCATATTTACTTTATTCTAGCTTCTTTTTTATATGTCTGCCAACCGTGAATCAAAGAATAGCTTGGGCAGAGGTATCTTTTACATATATTTTCTGTCCACAGTAAGCAAAAAGAAGTTAAATATTGGTGTCTCTGACAGAGAAAATAAAACCAATTATATTAGGTATAAAACTGAACTATGGAATTGCTAACATAAATGTTCTATAAGAATGCTAACAAATGATAAAGAGAATTTGAGTTTTTAAATTCCATACACTATTATGTCATTACTTATTTGAATCTCTTATTAGAGTACATTAAAATATCACCAGCAAAAGAAATCCTGAAACTGAAAAGCTAAGCAATTCTGAAGTTTATGTTGCTCTATCAACTCAGATATGATTATTTTTCTAAAATTAGTCAGAGATGAATCTTCAATTCCCTAGAGTTTACTGTATGCAATCCTGCCAATTAAGTACTAGGTCATCTAATAATTAGTTCTAATAACAGTTAACATTTGTATAGCGCTTTGCCCTTTACAAAGCGCTATACAAATGTTATCGTATTTGTAAAAGCTCAATAGTAATTAACCAAAGCCAGGGCCGTTGATGACTGCATGACTCGAGTTGGGGCTGTTAGAATCATAATAGCACAATGAGCTACCACTAGATGGCAGTAAAATGTCAGTGGTAGGCTCACGAACACCAGCCAGCCCAGGTGTGCGGTTCTCTCAGCAGGGACACGTCCATTAAATCGGGGAAGCGTGGTGAATTTGCTCTGGGTGAATTCTATTACTTGAGGGAGCACACTCCCACATCTATTAACCACCTTCTAGTAACACTTCCACTATTTCACTTGAGGGAGGCTTGTCCTAGACTCCTGCAATCTCAGTATACAAGGGAATACTTTACACCATGAGCAGACATGGGTCTAGTTAAAAAAAAGCAGAATAATTAAAAAAAAATAAAACAAAACAAAGTGGGTAATACTTGCATGTCAGAAAAAAATAAATATACACCATACTGTCAAGCATCAAATTGCTTTCTTTCTATTGAAATGTGTTATCCATACTGTATTATGTTAAGAGAAAGAAAAATGGCTTCAAAGTCAGATGTCCCTGGTTCCTCTCTAGGTTCTGCCACTTATTAAGCATATGACCTTGAACAAGCCTCCTCTCTGAGACTCACATTTTTATCTAGAAACCAAAGTGATGATGATTCCTACTTCAGTATCATGTTTAGGTTGTGACATGGATGTAATTCCACGAAAAACAGATGTGGAAATGCCTAGCTCAGTATGCAGCTGCTCGGTAAGTATCAGTTGAACCTGAAGCCAAAAAGAGAACCATGCTGGGTGCAGGGGATCCCATCCGCAATCCCATTACTTTGGGAGACTTACTCAAGGCCAGGAGTTGAATACCAGCCTGGCCAACACAGTAAGACCCTGTCTCTACAAAAAATAAAAAAATTAGTCAGGCATGGTCACACACGCCTGTAGTACCAGCTACCTGAGACTGAGGCAGGAGAACTGCTTAAGCCCAGGAGATCAAACTTGCAGTAAGTCATGATGGTGTCACTGGACTCCAGCGTGAGCAACAGAGTGAGATCCTGTCTTAAAAAATAAAAAAGGAGACATGCATAAGGACTGATACCTAAAGAGCAATAGTAATGACAAAGCACTAAACTTCATTAACTGCAGCACTAACAGTTTAGAGAGGATGGAGGAAGGGCTTCTTGAAGGGTCTGAGCTTTTAAATGGGCTCTGATAGTTAAGTTTCCACTAAATGGACAGGAAGTCCAGGCCTACCCATCTCTCTCCCAACGTAGTTGTTCAAGAAGGTTAAGACTCAAGAAAGAAATAAGAATCTTATTAGTAACAAAAATAAAATTTAAAGTTAAATATGCTTAGACACATATTAAGTTTTTAAGCACCTCAGTATCTGTACATGGGTAATTCAATGCTCCCCATGGTTCTCCTTACATTTAAACAACCTTCCTGAAAACTGTTGGAGACAATGCCTCAAAGTCATTCCTGACTGTGCCACTGGCTGAAGTTTGCAGCATTTAAATCTTAAGTTTTTTCTCCCAACTTTATAACACCTTGAGCAGCTATAATCAACATCTTTAGAGGGTGTGAGGAGGCAGGAGGGATAAAAAGAGACACAAAAATATCTTATTCCTTAGTTGTAAAAGGCAACAATACAAATGCGCGGGTTAGGTTCAAAATCTCAACTCCATTAAATCCAAGTAAATTTTCCTATTTTTCCTGTTAATCATTTTCTATATTCAAGAGATTTCAACCATGCCATCAAACTTTTTCTTTACCCATATTCAAACCACACTCTTAAGAAGTCACTTGATCCCAAAAGTGTTTCTTGATAAACTAGGTGAGTGGCACTAGTTCCTCTCCAATCTTAGCCTGCATCGGAAAAAAGATTCCATATCACCTATGAAATGGACATTTTACTTTATTTACTCCTGATGAAACCCTTTACACATGCAGCTGCCATTACCATATCATTTACCCTTTTGTCAATCTGAAACTAACAGGATAGGAGATATTAATGTAGCTTTAAATCATAAGTTCCTGAAGGCCAGAAATGCAAACACTGATTTAATGCACATTTGAGCTGTGTCCATAATATCAAAAGGTAAATGAATCAATAAACTGGAAGTTATTGTTTATCATCTGTTAGTTCTCAGCAATGATGAACCCCCGAGTATTCATGCCTGAAGTCCCAAAATACGTGGAAGTCCAAAAAACTATGATGTAGCTCCCTCAACGATGTATTTCAGAAAGCCTAACAAAACCACATAGTCACCCACACAAATCACACAGACTAACTGAAACATTAAGTATTTTATTAAATTAATGTGTTTAACACTTTCTTGAGTATTCTTTTTTGATTATTCCTTTGCATTTTTATCTTTCATTACTGAAATGAGAAAATAAATTTTAAAATATTTAGTTTAATAGACAAAAATCCTTAAAAACCATGGGGTTGGCAGGGGAAAGGGAAAGTTTGTTAATGCTCAGCAGGTTGGTAAATCCCTTGTATAACCTGTTTGCTTCCCTTTCTACTTCCTAGCCATGTGATTTCACCAAACATAAATCATCAGTCAAAGGCCCTCTTAGCTCAATCAGATTCAAATGGTCTCAACAGATCTTTAAAAAGATTAAGTCGGCTGGGCTGGGTGGCTCATGCCTGTAATCATAGCACTATGGGAGGCCGAGGTGGGTGGGTCACATGAGGTCAGGAGTTTGAGACCAGCCTGACCAACAAGTGAAACCCCATGTCTACTAAAAATACAAAATTAGCTGGGCGTAGTGACGCATGTCTGTAATACCAGCAACTTGTGAGGCTGAGGCAGAAGAATCACTAAAACTCAAGAGACGGAGGTTGCGGTGAGCGGAGATCCCCTCACTGCACTCCAGCCTAGGCAACAAGACTGGGACTCTGTCTCAATAAATAAATTAATTAAATAAAAAGAAAGGAATACTTTAAAAGATTAAGTCATGCATCCATATCCCCACACATGAGCCTCATATGATAAACATAAGTCAAAACTAAGGTCTTAGTAATATAAAGCGTAAACCGCAAATAGCAGTTGTTGCTTTGAATTTAAGCAAATTCTCTATTGCTAAAACATGGTTTTCAGAACAAGGAAGCTTTAATTATAAGTTTTTTGATTCTTTATTACTAAAAACTCTCTGCAAAGAAATTCAAAATCACATCCTAACAATATTTCTCTATATGACTTTTAGGATTGTTTTTCTAGTTCTGTGAAGAATGATGGTAGTATTTTCATGAGAATTGCACTGAATTTGTAAATTGCTTTTGGCAGTATGGTAATTATCACAATACTGATTCTACCCATCTATGAGCATGGAATGTATTTCCATTTGTTTGTGTCGTCTAGCATTTCTTTCAGTAGTGTTTTGTAGTTTTCCTTGTAGAAGTCTTTCACCTCCTTTGTTAGGTATATTTCTTAGTATTTTGTTGGTTTTTTTTTTTTTTTTGCAGCTATTATAAAAGGAGTGGGGTTCTTGATGTGACTCTCAGCTTGGTTGCTGTTGGTATATAGAAGAGGTATTGATTTGTGTACATTACTTTTGTATCCAGAAACTTTGCTGAAATTCTTTTATCAATCCTGGGAGCTTTCTGGAGGAGTACACATAGCCAAAGCAAGACTAAGCAAAAAGAAAAAATCTGGAGGCATCACATTACCCAATTTCAAACTATAATATAAGGCCATAGTCACCAAAACAGCATGGTACTGGCATAAAAATAGGCACATAGACTAACGGAATAGAACAGAGAATTCAGAAATAAACCCAAATACTTACAGCCAACTGATCTTTGATAAATCAAACAAAAACATAAAGTGGGGAAAGGACACCCTACTCAACAAATGGTGCTGGGATAATTGGTAAGCTACATGTGAGCTTAATTGGCAAGCTACATGTAAAAGAATGAAACTATATAGAAGGATCCTCAGTTCTTACCTTATCCAAAAATCAACTCAAGATAGATCAAGGACTTAAATCTAAGACCTGAAACTATAAAAATTCTAAACATAACACTGGAAAAACCCTTATAGACATTGGCTTAAACAAGGATTTCATGATGAAGAACCAAAAAGCAAATGCGATAAAAACAAAGATAAATCGCTTGGACTTAATTAAACTAAAGAGCTTTTGCACAGCAAAGGGAACAGTCAGCACAGTAAACAGACAACCCACGGAGTGTGAGAAAATCTTCACAATCTATACAACTGACAAAGGACTAATATCCAGAATCTACAACAAACTCAAACAAATTAGCAAGACAAAAACAAACAATCCCATCAAAAGTAGGCTAAGGACACGAATGGACAATTCCCAAAAGAAGATATACAAATGTCCAACAAACATATGGAAAAACGCTTAATATCACTAATGATCAGGGAAATGTAAAGCAAAACCACAATGCAATACCACCTCACTCCTGCAAGAATGGCCATATTCAAAAAACAATAGATATTGGCGTGGACGCAGTGAACAGAGAACACTTCTAAACTGCTGGTGGTAATGCAAACTATTACCACTATGGAAAATATTGTGGAGATTCCTTAAAGAACTAAAAGTAGAACTACCATTTGATCCGGCAATCTCACTACTAAGTATGTACCCAGAGGAAAAGAAGTCATCATACAGAAAAGTACTTGCACGTGAATGTTTATAGCAGCACAATTCACAACTGCAAAAATGTGGACCTAACTCAAATGCCCATCAGTCAATGAGTGGATAAAGAAACTGTGAAATATATATGATGAAATACTACTCAGCCATAAAAAGGAATGAACTAATGGCATTCACAGCAACCTGGAAAAGATTGGAGACTATTATTCTAAGTAACTCTGGAATGGAAAAACCAAACATAGTATGTTCTCATTCATAAGAAGGACTAAGCTATGAGGATACAGAGGCATAAGAATGACACAATGAACTTTGGGGATTCAGGGGGTAAGGGTGGGAAAGGGGTGAGGGATATATGACTACAAGTTGTGTGCAGTGTATATTGCTTGGGTGATGGGTACACCAAAATCTCACAAATCACCATTACAGAACTTACTCATGTAACCAAACCCCACCTGTTCCCCCAATAACCTATGGAAATTAAAAATAAATAAAAAATTTCTCCATAGCATGCAAGACTTATGGCAGTGTAGGAACCAATGTCTAAGTACCTGTGAGAGTGGAAATAGAAACAACATACTTGTATTCAAGACTAGTGTCAAAGCAGCAATTTTCCAGGGCATCCAAACACTTCATCAGAAGAAGGTTCATTTCTTGGCCAGATATATCACTAGATAAAGATCAAGGGGAAACAATTAATTATTTAAAATTTGTCAGGTCTAAAATATTAAATACAATATTATACTGTCAATGTTTTACTGGAAATACCAGTATTTCTCTTAAAAAAAAAAAGAGATATTGGTTATGTATACTCTTATTTTGTAGTTACAGAAACTAAGTCTGACAAATTATCCAATAACTGGGTTTCTGAGCAGTGTAATCGCTTCCAAACCAATAAACCCTAAATCTCCTATTTTTTATTTTTCTCAGCGTATTTAAATTTTAAGTCACTGAAAAATAAAAAATAAATGTGGAATTCCAGAAAATATTTCTAACAAGTTTTAAGGGTTTTTCGTCAGAATACTTAACCTATTAAGCTGACATTATCAATAATAAGTACAAATCTCTTTCTTGCAAAGACTGTCACTTCTGATTTCATGTCTCAATTGTAAAGGTTTTAAGTTCTATTCCTTTACTTACATTTTTTTAAAGGGGAGAAAATCCTAGACCTATGTTTGTTTGCATTTCTACAAACAATTGATGATTTTATAAATGCCTAGGTGAAAAGTCTGACTTGCATAGTAAAATAAAACTTAAAAGTTTCTATAGCCATCTTTTTGGGCAGATTTGTAGCCTTCATCGGTGACATTTTATTAGCTAGAGGTTCCTACATCTTAACTCTCATATTGCTACTTCTGATCATGCTAAGTGGAATGTAACCCCAGGAATGACAACCTGGCAGAGCACTTTTTAAAACATTTTCCCAAACTAAGACTATAGCAATTTCGCCCAGGGTAAAAGTTTTTTTGCAATTAAAAAAACACACAACCCTCACATTACACACACAGACTTAAGAGCTTTAACTAAATAAATCCTACTAAAGTTGTCCTTTGGAGTAAAATATACTTAAATATTCTAAATAAATGCTAAAGATGTCATACTTGTATTTTTTGGAGGTTATGACAGAAGCAAGAAACTGTGGAACAATATTCAGTATTTTTCTGAATAAATTCTACACTGGAACTTAAATTCAAGAGACTTTTTCATACGCCTTAGCAAAACATGATATTTTCATAATTATCTCTTTTTTTTTTGAGACAGAGTCTTGCTTTGTCACCCAGGCTGGAGGGCAGTGGTGCAATGTCAGCTCATTGCAACCTTCACCTCTTGGGCGTAAGCAAATCTCATGCCTCAGCTCCCTGAGTAGCTGGGACTACAGGCATCCACCACCATGCCTGGCTAAGTTCTGTATTTTCAGTAGAGACTGGGTTTTGCTGTGTTAGCCATACCAGTCTCAAACTCCTGGCCTCAAGCGATCTGCCTGCCTCAGCCTCCCCAAGTGCTGCAATCACAGATGTGATTCATAATTCTCTTGTACATGGTGATTTCTTAGTCCCTGAAAACCAACACACTGTCCCAATTCTGCTCCCATTAAAGGACTACATTGGGACACATTTGATGCCACTGACTAGTCAAAATCAACAGTTCTCAAAACACTTTTAGAAAAAAATTAAAACTTTCTCCAAAAATGAAATTATCTGTTAGCACTGTTACTACCTGGTAAAACATTTATTAGTATCAAAAGGCAAATGTTTCAGATTCCTCAACTGGAACAAATTGGGAAGGTGGGAACCATGAACAGTTATATTAGTAATGGCATTTCTAACACACAGGCCCTACGGAGGAGGAGGATGCTATCAAACACAGGAACGTTAAGGTAGAGTCAAAATTTGTAGTTATTCTGGGGGTACTCAGCTAAGGAAGGAGCTTCCTGATGTCTTTGCCCAGGGTTTCCTTTGGGTGTGAATTCCAGACAGACAGACAGGGGTGGAAGGCAACCTAGGAACCAGGATCAAGTGTTTTAGGGGAATCATTATAGGTTTCTCCAGGCAGCATGTTACGTTAAGCACAAATGCAAGCCTGTCAGCCTAAAAGCAGCAGCATCTCCTCCTAACTTAGTGAAGAAAGGAGTCACGCCAGAATAGGATGAAATGAGTTGCCTAGAATTAAACTGCCACGGCTCATTTTTAGTTGCAAAACATGTTGCTTGAAAAGCTACCAAAGAAAGAGCATGAACACAGATGGTGAAAAGACTGTCATTTGTAGCATAGTAGCAAAGGGAAAAAATCACTTTCAAGTTTTAAGTCTTTAAAAATACTTTGTGTTCTGTCACACACACAAGATGTAACAGTCAAATCACATGCAAAGGGCACTTTTTTACTCATCTCCAAAACAAGACCTGTATTTACTGGAGATTCTAAGTGCAGTGTGGCCAGAATATTCATTTTGTCCTATTCACCATCACTAAGACTAAGAGAACCATCCCAATCATCTGACAGACATTTCTAAGAGCTGAAAATGATCATCTGAAATATGGTATTCCCCCAGATCAATAGCAATTCACATAGACGTTTCACATACTGCTGTTTGTGAAGAACTTAATCAGTGGTCTCAAACTGAAATAAATAGAGCATAGTGTCATCCAGTTTATCCACACCAGCACCATTTCTTGCCTTTGGACAGTGAATTTCTGCCAACCGGGGAATTTAAAAGATGTCTAATATCACAACAGAATGCCTCTTCCTACTATCTTATTTCCAATTAAGGAAAACAGAGCCAAATACCAAGTCGCTGACATCGAAATATTCATAATAAGCAAATATTCATGTTGTATCCCACTACAATCAATGTAGATATACAAAATTCTAAGATTTGTTATAAAATAAAAAATAAGCAGTATGAACAACAAAACTAAAGAAGACTTATGCATGAAGAAAACCTTTCCAATTCAGTGGAATTTTCCACCTGAGTCTATTCCATTAGCTCCATTCAAGGGTAAAGCTAGCAGTCCAAAAATGAGCAATCAAAGTGAACAAAGCACACAGTATAATATGCACAGATTAAAACTCTTTAAGGATTATAAAAATTTGGCCAAGGCACAGGAAAAAAGCAGTATTTAAAGCCGGGTACATGTAGTTCTCAGGTGATTCAGAGACTCCCCAACACCCCTTAGGCACTAGAGATATGCCAATCCTCTCTTCCCATTTTACAGTGATTGATAAAAGACTGGCAATTATTTTCATCCCAGATAACCAGAAAAAAAAAAAGAAGCTTTTTACTTGTAACACTATAAGATTAGACGTTTCTCATGTCTACCACACTTAGGTACCCGAGGCTTTCATTTAAGCATGAGATGATCTTCACTTTAATACTAGCAACCCTTAAAATACATTAATACCCTCAGGATGGCATTTTAGAAAAGTAAAGGTACTCATAAAGAAGTAAAAAGGATCAACTTGCCTGTCTCAGAAAGTTTAGCAGACACGTATTGCTTAGATACAATGTTTATGTATATGTGCATATGAGTGCAAAATCCTTTGCAAAAAAATCACAAGGAAAAGCAGAAATATTTTAATAAACTGTACCTGAGTTTCTCTTCACACAAGCGAGAGAGAAACATCCCTAAAGCAAGGCCCATGTGGATTTGCACGGCTTGAGACTCATCAGCACTTGGTTTCCCAGGTAACCTGGCAGTCAGCATGTTCAGGATTTCCTCAACCTTCTCTTTGCAAGAGATAATGAAAACTGGCACAAGGAGAGACAAAGCCGTGGCGGCAGCAGAACGGGCAATGGCACTAGCTGTGTTTTCACCAGAATAGGACTTCTAGGACATGCCAAAGAAGAAAACGGGGTTAGCCTTTTGTTTAAAACCCGAGGAAGCATACCTATTGCAAAAGCACGATACAACCATACAAGCTTCCCTTAAATCCACCCCTGCCAACACCCAAAACAATGTATTTTTTAAAAATCCAAATGTTTTTGTCTATAGGTTATGTTTTCATTATTGAAATATTTTGCTACTAAAAAATGGATTAATAATATCCTTTTAAATTTGAAAAAACAAATTACAAGTGCCTTCTTTTTAAAGGTTATAAATTCCCTCCTATAAGGCTTGAAACAATTTCAGTGTTCTTAAAACCCCACATGTATATGTATTAAAAAACACCGAAGTGAATCTGTCTGAGCTTGCCACATTATAAATGTCCAGAAAGCTAGGAGTTTTCCAGGAAAGAAAGGAAAAGGGAGGAAAAGAGTTTAAGTTTAGTATGGAGAAACAAGTATAAATTTAGCACAGGGATCTATTGGCACATCTCCCAAAATTTTTGGTGGGAACACTTCCCAATAGATGGATTATTTCCTACAGGGGGTTAATTCCTTTTAATTAAAAAGGAAGTTGAAATCCTAAAAGCCTTTGGTTACAAAGCAATAACCAGCTATTCAAAATGAAATGGAGAGCCCTATATGCCCCTTCCTACATGTAATTATGGGAAAAGAAATGAATAACAGCCCTAATAAAATGACAGAGCCACTGAATATGAACAGCTTCTATAAGAATCCCATGTTAGAGAGCTCTACCAGACATTATATACATATACAAATATGTCTCAAGTGGGAAAGAAAGCTCATTTATCATTCCTCACTATTATCCAATTTAAAATTTCAGACACACCATAAAAGCAGTGTTGTCCCTTGCAATCAAAGCACATTAAAATGTGTTTTTAATTCCAGGCCCATTTGCTCTCTAAGCTTTGGTACTTTAAGGATAAAAATCAAACAAGTACTAAGTTACACTTTAAGTTAATATAGCACTATTTTAATAATAATGCTACTCAAAATGACCCACGGGTAGCACACAGGAAATAAAGTGACTTTTGAAACAGGGCTTTGAAAAGTATGGTAATGCAAAAATCACAAAGGTAAGAGGCAATCAGAGCTGACTAGTAAAGAGATTATTTTTATTGGTTTGCAAGAACTAAGTAGCACATGAGAAATTTCATACAGTGTCCTGCTCTGGTGAATATCTGAACTAGATAGTTATTACAAAGACCTCCATATAAGCATCTAAAGGTTTCATTCATCATTAAAGAAATAAAAACACTTCTGACAGAAAGCAAATCATCATTAAGCAATTAACATTTTGAGCAAAATTTACCTTCCAATTTAATTCTACATCATCTGGAAAGTCATTGTTTTACCTCAACTATGGTTAAAAATCTAGCTCTAAACCCAAAGCCCCAGACAAATACATACCAGATCTTTCCAAGGGCAAGAGGACAGTGGCACACACAATATACAGAGAAGACCTTAGGCAATGACGTTTTAGGCTAAATTCGTGATCTTAGCAACAGTTCAGAATCTGTGTTATATTTTTATTAAAATCAACTATAATCCTCTGCCACTCAGCTGATTGCCCCATGATCATTATAATTCCCTAGGCAATGGATAGCAATAGGGTAGGACCAAAATAGTTCTACACAGATACAGAAATAAAGCATGCACTATGACCAATGAAAGGAAAAGGAAACCTAAACAAAATAGTGTTTTCTCATTTTTGCTTCAAATCTTAGAATACAACCATTAAGACTGAGTATAGGTAACAGGTGGCTTGTGGCTTTTTTTTTTAAATGAACAACAACATTAACTTTGAATTTACAGAGTATTTCACAGTTTTCAAAATATTTTTACATAAAGTGTATTATTTGATCTTCACAATCTTTTAGAAAATTGGCAAAGCATTAATTTTTACTTTCATTAGGAGCAAGGTCTACAATTGCTACAGATGATATTGCTCAATTCCTTCATTTTATAAATAAGGAAAAAAAGGCTCAAAGAGGTTGAGTAAATTGCCCAAGGTCACACAACCTGGAATGAAAAAAACTATGACTAGGAACTTGGAATCCCTATATTTCAGCCAATATTTACTCTACTACATCTGCAGCTCTTGACCCTGACTACACATTAGAATAACTGAGAGAGCTCTCAAAATGCTGATGTCTGAAATTAATCCATGAGCAATTAAATCAGCAGTGGGAACTATACTTCAGTATTTCTTTTATACATATTTCCATACATATATTTCACATGTCATATATGCATATATACATACATATATATTTACACACATATTTCTCATAATTTACATAAATAATATTTATATTTTTTATATATTTCTTGTGTGTGTAGGTGTATTTAAAGTTCCCCAGGTGATTCTAACAAATAACCAGGGCAGAGAATAACTACACTATATAATGGATTTTTTTTGCGGCGGAGTTTTGCTCTTGTTGCCCAAGCTGGAGTGCAATGGCATGATCTTGGCTCACCACAATCTCTGCCTCCTGGGTTCAAGTCATTCTCCTGCCTCAGCCTCCCAAGTAGCTGGGATTACATGCATGCACCACCAGGCCCTGCTAATTTTGTATTTTTAGTACAGACGGGGTTTCTCCATGTTGGTCAGCCTTATCTCGAACTCTCAACCTCAGGTGATCCACCTGCCTCAGCCTCCCAAAGTGTTGGGATTACAGGCGTGAGCCACTGCTCCCGGCCTATATAATGGATTTCATGTGAACAACTGATGTTAGAAGAGTCAACCCCTGAGTTTTCTGATTATTTATTTTTTGTACTTACATAATAAAACCAGGAGAGAAGTTGCCCTCTGGGTTGGTAATGGCTATCCACAATGACCAAGAGAGTATCAAGTACCATGGAAATCCAATCTTTCATTGAAAGGAAATTAGGTTGAACCTGCAGATGAATAAAAACATGAAATGATTATGGAAAAAAGAAAACAAATCTAAAGATCATTTCTAAATCCAGGGTACAACCCCCTTCTATATTAAACAATAAACTGCGGTTATCAAAAAGTAAACTTCATCTGCTTGGACTATGAGTATGCACATATGAGGTGTACAGGTAATTGATAAATATACATCCTCACCTGTGCCCCAAAAGAAATAAGATTACCTTTTATGCACGAGTTAGCAGAAGCAAGAGGATAGAGGCTGCAAAACAGAACAATTCAAGAGCCCTTCAGAGCTCTCTTGTGTAATATGGAGGTTAAAATGAGAGATGTAAAAAAAACGCAACTCAAAATTTCTCAATTCTATGACATCTTATTTGACAAAGGAGGCAATAAACAGCCCACAAAATTCTGATCAACATGTCTAGCATTTCTGGTGACTATTGCCATTTAGTTGCCATTTCAAGAATCTTGACAACATTTGCCCAGCTAACTAAAGATTAGGTAGAAAACATGAATTATGTTCAGTCTGAAAAAGAAGAGGAAAGAGAGAACACAAAAACAAAACAACAAAACCCCACTCATTAAAAATAAAACTTGGTTATTAAAGTCACTCATAACCATGGATGTCAAAAGCATTCATTAAGTCATACGGCAACTCTCAGGTGGTGCAAACTATAAACATCATCCAGTGTTATGTCCTTTGATTTCTTGTAATTCCTTAAATCAAACAAGGCTCTTACATCTTTGGATCTTTTGTTGGTGGTCATATGCAGATTTGAATAATGTTTGAAAGTTTCAACTTTAATCAAATAAAGAGGTCTTGAATTTGCACTGAGCAACAGTCAAAGACAAGATCATCACAAATAAAAGCAAAGCCCTATCATTGGACTGTGTGCCTTCTCAATGTGTGTTGGGGCGTGTTGGTGGGGAGGAGAAAGTAAGAGAGGCTGGAATTCAAACTCTGAGCTACTGGAACTCACACTCTGAGCTAGACTCCATTATTACTGGGGGAAATTACTGTATAACTGATAGTTTGACAAAAATAACACCAAAGTGAAGGGATCATAGAAAGAGGCACTGACTTTTTTTTTTTTTTTTGAGACGGAGTTTCGCTCTTGTTACCCAGGCTGGAGTGCAATGGCGCGATCTCAGCTCACCACAACCTCCGCCTCCTGGGTTCAGGCAATTCTCCTGCCTCAGCCTCCTGAGTAGCTGGGATTATAGGCATGTGCCACCAGAGGCACTGACTTTTTAGGTTGTAGATCTAGGCAGCATGTAGCCTCTGCTAAAATATTCAATGGCTCTTTGAAAGACATGAAACATTTCTTCTCTATAAAATGTCTATCTTTCTTATCAGAAGGTTCTAAGTTTAAAAGCAAATTTTCACAGCGTAATAAACTAGTATCATTCTTGCAATAATCCTTTGGCCTCTTTCCCTTCCCTATATGTGATATATATCTGTGGCTTTTGCCACACAGCATCTATTCTCTGTTTACTGGTAATAGACACCTTCGTGGAGTTCCATCTTCCCCACTATTTGAAGGTTAAATGCTCCATTAAGCTAGCTGTCCTACACTATCCACGGGGTAGGCCTAGGACCCAAGGGACTCTGAATTTTAAGTAAGTGATAAAAGGACAACAAATGACTGAGGTTGTTCCGGCCCACTGGAGGTAGTCTGCAGAGATGTTTTGTTAGTACCTGTGGTCTGGACTCCCCAAATTGCCTTGGTTCTTTTTCTTCCCAAAACTCAGTTTTTAAGCTTTGCCTTCAATTCCATGGGCTTCTAGATTTCACATACTTCCTGTTCCTTTTCTGTTTAAATGAGTCATTAAAGTTGTTTTTTTTTAGTGTACTACCAAAAAAACCCCACAATAATAAAAACAAAAGAATACAGATAGCCCATAAGATACTCCTTGAGGACAGAGACAGACAGAACAACTTTGAAAGACTATTATTAATGAGAGTTTAGCATCTATGAGCTGCTGTGCTTTACATATATTAATTCATTTAATCCTTCTGATAATCCTATCTGGTGAGTGTTGTTATCCTTCCATTTTATAGATGGGGAAATCGGCTCTAAGAGAGGAAATTGCTACAAATATGCCATAGAGGTAGTAGGTGGAAGTAACAGGATCTAAATACAAGACTTTCCTATTCTAAAGTCTTATTTTTTAACGACTCAATTATATATATATTATCTCTAGATGGTGATAGCTACCAGATAATAAGGCTTAAAACAAGAATAAATCCACGCCTTTTTATTTAGACAGATATAAATCATCCAAGAAAGTACACTGGAAATGAACAGTGGCCAGTTCACCACATGTTTAATTAAGAAATAACCGCCTTGCAAAAATGAATAGGCACTTTGTCATTGACATCTACAATTAAAATGCAAAGTACATTTTTTTCAGTCAATGAACACTGCTTATTTATCATTTTGACAGCATTGTTTACTTTCAGTAAGTCTAGTTAAGCTCATAAGATTGGTTACTATTGATGTAATCACAAAAAGATAACCCCTACTGGTGCCTTCAAATAGAAATGACCACTTAACTGTGATAGAGAAAGGAAAACAGAAAAGCAGCAAAGTCAGGAAGACACTAAGGTTCACAGTATAAAAACCCATTAAGTACTGTAACTTGGTGCCATAATCACAGAATCTAATGCTGTAGGCCTATAGCCAGGCTACCTAAAACCAGGCCTAAAAAGACACAATGAAAGCCCAATTGTTTAAATCACCCCAACTAACCTCCAGGAGCCCATCAGAGTCTGAGGAGAGGCTGGCTTCATGTCTACATACGACGACTGCAAGGCTGCTTAGGGCTAACAGCGCATTGCCTTTCACTACTGGACTCTCCCTGTTCAAAAGGAAAAAAATTTCAACAGGGAACTTTGGTATTAAACTAGGAGAAGAGAAAGAGCTAATAATATAGGAGGGCGGATGAACTCAAAAAGCAACTTGTATTCCTTTACAAAGTCTTGAAATATAGGTCTGTTTGTTCCCTGAAGCCAACAGTTTCTTTCCTTCCCTTCTGACTCTAGAGCTGATTCTGAACTCTTCTTATCAATGTATGGGTCATTATGCCTTTTTATAACTGAAAAATCCAAGCTTAGTAAGTTGATTCTTCCTAAATTTTTATTTCATCATTTAACATTACATTTCCTAGGCTCTCTTCTGTGTCATCTTTGGCCAATTTAAAAATATTGTTTTGTTCTAAAAACATAGCCAAGACAGGTATGTCAATAGGCCCAGCAGAAAGAATGGCCTTTGGCTTTTCTGAAGCTCTGGTATGTTGAACTGGCTTCAAAGCAAACCAATTCAGACTGCATACCTTACAACTTGGCACATGGAAGCTTTTCTCACTCACTATTATCCTCTCTTTTCTCTTAATATGGCAAAGCTATCAACCTTAAGGCCAGTTTGTAATATAATCTGGAGACCCCAGATAGGATGCAAATAAAAAAGGACTGTTTTTACACTATTTGGACTGAAAGTTGCCTTTTTATACCATCTAAATGGTAGTCTTCTAATATTACCAAGAAACTTTTATGTTTCACTTCTGAATGTAACATAAAAACCTAAACCTTTTAAATATACTCACCACTTGAAAATGTGCATTTAATATTATTACATAACTCTAAGCTGATCCTATAAAGTGCCCTATGGGGCACCAATGAGATGCTCTAGGATTGCCAATTCTGTTATAATAGAGCTCCCATACCAACAGATAGTTCCGTTCTCAGTCTTACAATGTGGGTTTCCATAAATACAGACAATGTTCCCCAAAATCTGGACTTGAAACCTGACTCTGAATTCAGTGTATGCGCCAAGAACCACTTCCTGCTTAGCTCAGGGCAGGAGTAGAACAGATATGAGGGATAAGGAAGATTTTCAACCCTGCTCCCTAAACGAGCCTACTACCTCCAGTCCCAAGCCGCAGTCACAATTGAACACTTGAGTCAGTGGGTATTAAATTGTTGGTGTATACATGTGTTCTTGCAATTCTGCTTCCATTCGGTAAGAATGAGACTCAGGACTTGCCATTAACAAGTCCTTCCATCAATCTATTCACCCATCTCTCCTTCCATCTCTCCCTTCCACTTTAGAATGGTTAAGCTCTGTGAGGGCTTGAAGGCATGATCATTTTGTTCACTCTGCCCCACCTCAGTTTATTCCTCCATGAGGCCAGTCAAAAGTTAGTAAGACATCAACATTTATAATGGGGAGGGTTGGAAGACAAAATGGGAAGGAAGCCTTGAGGTGTAAGCAGATGGTTACAACCTGGGTTTTGCTAGAGTTCTGCAAAGACAATTACTGAGCACTCATATAGCTAATAAGAAAACACTTAGCAAACATAAGTGAGATGTGGTCATTCCTAGATGCCCTAGCCATAAAATCATTTAACAAAAACAAAATTAATTATTTTATTTCTAAAATTATTTATTTCTTTTAACAGAATGTCCTGATGCCTTTCCTACAGCAAAATGGTCATGAATCCCTAAAGGTGAGTTTTAAAAAGAGTTTTAAATTCTGAGTGGTATGAGAATTACATTCTCAGTTTTTATTACCCTGCAGAAAACACAAGGTCACTAGAATATGGGTATCAAATGTCATAAAACCAAGGTATTAGATAAGATAACATAAAAAGTCATTTTTAACACCAAAATTCTGAAAGAAATTAGCCTCAGTTTGAAAACGGTACCAACTATTTTATTTCAAATCCTTCACTAGTGTTGACATAACTGAGTATGTATTATTCTTAAGTAATGGAGAAAAATTTATTTAAAGCCACTGGTAATAAGATCTTTGGTTGCAGAATGAATGCATGCATATTTGGACAACAATCTTTGAATTAAAAACCTAGTCCACTCTACACAATGCAGCCCAGGCCAAATTACATATTTCACAAAGGTACCAGGAGTAATTCTTCATCATCTTCATGTTCCCTTCATGCCTACCACAATGACTTATGGATAGAAGGTACTCAATACATACTTAGTAAAACAAATTCAAGGAGGAGCTGGAGAAGTGGGAATCTATAACTGGTTCAGTAAAAACTCATCACCTTGTTGCTCAAATAACTATCCCCTACCAGTCAAATGACAGCAACTAATTTGCATAATGACATGTCAGCATTGGTACAGTATTTATGCAACACCACTGACATTTTAATTAAATTGTCCTTTAAAACAAAATGATGTTATTAACCTAATTAAAAAGCACAAGGAAGGATGAGCTATAATGATGCTTTCTTAGGAACAAAGTATTACATTACATATTAGTAAAGTGACTCAATACTTCAGCAATTTTTATCTTCAGGTTTAAATCTGTTCAATAAATAATAATGGAAATAAATTTACATCAATTATCAGGTTTATATGTGTTCTGATTCTCCCTTAGCTCTATCCTTGAAGCTTTAAAAATGTTCTTAAATGAACAAATTAGGATCACCCCAGGATTGGTATTTTACTTTTTGCATTTAACTTCTAGCTCTGAACAAAAGAAGCCCTACCCTGACCCAAATCAGCTGTGACAGCTGTATAGCTACAGAATGGAGAGCTAAGCTGGCAAGGGGCAGTGGTGAAGGTCTCACAGGGTTAGAGGAAGCCAGTGGGAAGAAGCAAAGAGGAGGTGACAAAATAATTCTTTTCCCCTGCTCTATGACCCATCTCTCAGCCTCTGGACCTAAAATATCTCTTATTCACTTGCTGCCATTCCTAGTCTTGTCAGGATTGCTTTATTAAAATAAGGTTTACAAGATACTTTGTAAGTTTTGATGAGAAGGTAATGCCATGAGAACATGAATTATTTTTACTCTATATCACTGAAAATGTGAACACACTTCCTTTAGGTATTAGTCATACAGTGATGCTTTGTGAATCTAAGATTATAGTCACATTGGAATAAAATTTTAGTATGAAAAACTGCAATAGCTACTAGATAGGAGAAATCATAGTTTGCTTTAGTAGAAAGTCGGTAGTTTCTTCTTCAAGCTTTTGGCTGCAAATGTCAGAGCACCGCTTTTAAAAGGATATAAGTAGACTACATAAGAGAACAAACTATGAAAGGTAAAAGTCAAAGACAGCCTACATTCTCATCCCAGCACCCCCTCCCCTCTGATATGCAACTGAGCCCTCTCTTACTGTGTCTGCAATTCTGCAATTCACGAAACTGGAAAAACAGACATGAATGAGTCTCTAAGTTCTCTGTACTTTAGTTTTCATTTTGTCAACAGATATATCCCAGTGCCTTCCATGGAACTGAGTTAGGGGAGGACTGTCACTTCTATTTCTCTTTATCCAGAAGACACGAGGCTGAATAGTAATAATCTGCTGAGATCACACTTCACAGTTAGTGTCTGTTTAAGAAATTACTGATAGAAAGCTAACTCTAAGGTAGATCATTTTTTGTTTTTATTTTGTTTTTAAGGCAAAACCTATTTAGCTACAGAAGATTTTGGGACAGGAAAAGGATAAACTATACTACAATTTAAAATTTCTAGATGATATGGACTTTCAATACATGAAAACCTCTGGGTCAAAGGCGTATCTATGTTAGTTGGAGGCTAAAAAGAAAGGAGAGAAACAGAAATGGCAGCAGTTAGAGGAGACGGTGGAAGGAAGTGAGTGTAAGTGGCATGTAATTTACTGCCAGGAACAGTTAGTCAGCTTATTAACAAAGGAATCTGAAGAGATTGTTCAAGCAAGTTCATTCTGGTATAAATTTTTAGTGAGAGTTGGCTTAAGGTAAATAAAAAGCATCAAGGCAGTGACACTCAAGTAATTTTTGTTAAAATCATAAGCATATGACTAAAACTGCCTTTTTTGCCTTTTTAATGGACCTTTACATTAGATTCTACTATTTAAAAATTCAATTTTTAGATATACTGAACCCAGTAACACCAATGGAACAAAACAAAGTACTATCCACATAACTCAGATTAGCAAGGATTTCTTTCCTTTCTTTTTTCTTTATCCCCTTGAACTAAATGACAATCCTTTAAAAGCACATGTCATTTGTTAGGTATACAGACAGGGCTCAACTTCAGTGACTCCTGATGTAAAAGTCACATCTGGTACCAATCCCTATGTATTTTCACAAAAAGACATGTAGTAAGAATTCACCTATTATAAGAAAGGGTAACAATTAATTTTTTAAAAATAATTTAAAAGTACTCTAAAATCCTTAAAGTTATGAAATGCCCTAAAAGGAGGAAATGTATGTACCTACCAGGAAAGAGTATTTATAAGAAATGTTTTATAAGAGACTAAATGGATCTTACTTTGCAGCTGTCTTGGTGATCTCATCAGTCAGCATGTCTCTAATCCTGAAATAAAGATGGAAAACAAATATGAGTTTATGTTAGAACAAGAACTCATTCCTTTCTCTTTTTCATCAATTAATAAGAACCTCCAGCAATGACTCCTGATCTTAAAACTATACATGTAGAATTTTAGTGGAAGGTGAAAGAACTATAATAAGGGCTTTGCTTCAAAGACAGCTTCACCTTTCTGTTCATGAGGCCACTGAGTAGAGGTAGGGAGGAGGTGAATGTGTAATTGAGGGGCATGTACTAACAGTACCATCTCAGATGGAGTGTCCATTATATACAAGTATCCATTACATTACTCTCTTCAACGGACTGAATGATTGCATCCCCCACCAAATTCATATATTGAAATCCTAATCATTTCAATGTGGTGGTATTTAGAAGCCCAAACTGACTAAGAAATTCTCTCTTTTTTACTTGTGAGCTCACCAAAACATCATTTTCCAATTTCCAAATTTATATATGAAGCAGTTGCTATGTGTGTATAGAAAATGCAATTTCAAACTTTTGTTCTATTATCATGGGAAAGCCAAAAGAAAATAATTATACTTGTGGGTTGGAAAGAAGGTATGCACAATTCAAATATTTACAGGCCCTAATTTTTTAATATAGAATTTTCAAGATAAAGTAAAAAACAACCACTGGCTGTAAAATTTACTTTTTTAAATGGATCATTTTCAATATACACTTTTAATTTTATAAATTCAAAGGTTTTATAGATATTATAAAGTTGCTGTATTTAAATATAAATTATATTGCATTCATAAATATTTGCATTTGATATATAATAAACTCTTAGCTATTCAGCACTCTGAGAATGAGTCATTCTGAAGAGCCAAGTTTTTCAGACAGGTGCAACACTTCCTATAGACCTTAATCTTGTATTTTTTAAAAGCATTTGACTATAAATTTCTCTAAAATATATTGTCTAATTTCTGTATTCCTAAATGGAATAGAGTCCATTCAATGTAATAGTTCATGGGTCAATGTGGAATATTTACAAATGACCTATGTATACTTATATCTAAGGTCAAACCTTCCACTTGTACACTAGAGCTCCCTCTCTACTCCCTCCTCTCTGCTGCATCACCAATTTTTCCATGTCTACTTGTATTACTCCCCTTAGCATATGAACATACTGCAGTATCCACCCTCTAAAAGAAGAAAGAAGAACAAGCCCTCCAGCTGTTGCCCCATTTCTTGGTCTGTTACACATCAAAACTCCTATAAAAGATTATTTATTCTTGATGACCCTAGTTACTTCCTTCCACTCTCTAGGTCCTTCTATAGCCTGGTTTTTACCTCAACAGCTCTACCAAAACAGCTCCTGTCATGATCACCAATTATTTTCAGGAGACTGAATCTAATGCTCAATTCTCAGTCCCTATCTTCGGCTGCCTATCAGCAGCATTTGACACAGTTGGTTGCTCCTTTCTTATAAGGCTTTCTTTCCTTGGTTTTTAAGATTTTACTCTTTTTGTTCTCTTCCTACATCATTGATAACTAATTTTCCATCTGCTTTACAGGTTCCCTCTTCGTCTTCCCCACCTCTAAATATAGAACCAGGCCTCAATCTTTGGAAATCTTTTGTTACTCAATCCCTAGGTGACCTCACCCAGCATCATGAATTTAAATTCCATCAATATGCCAACATTTCCTAAACTCATCTCTCTAGCACTGAGCTGTCCTTAGAACTCTAAACTAGTCAACAACCTGTTTGCTATCTTTAATTGGAGGCTAATGAGGCATCTCAGGCCCAAGTCCGAAACCTGATTCCTACCCTATGCAGACCTGCTTTTCTCTAGTCTTCCTTGTCTTAAATGGAAATGTCATACTTTTGTTTAGAGTTAAAATCTTGGGTTATCTTTACTTCTTTCTTTCACATCGTTCATTTCAATTATTAGCATTTAAAACATATATCTGCCTTAAAATAGAATCAAAATCAATTTAATTGTCCACCACTAATATCCTAATCTAAAACACTTATTATCTCTAGCCTAAATTATTACAAGACTCCTAACCATGGCCCCCAAAGTATATTTTCAACATAACAGCTAAATTTTAAATCATGAGTCAGATCCTCTGATTAAGATCTGCCAATATTTCTCCACCTCATTCACAAAGTCCTCTTTGTACCAACAAAGACTCTCCACCCTGTGATCTCCCAAACTTCTCTGCTCTCACGTCTACTACTTCCATCCTTGCTCTCATCCATGCCACACAGGCATTGCCAGGTACACACCCAGGGCCTATGAAGAATTCACTGTTTCTTTTTCCTAGAACGCTCTTCTCCAGATATCAGCTTGGCTCACTCCACCACTTCTTTCAGGTCTCATTCAAATGTCATATTATTAAAGAGACTCCTGAACACCCTACAGAAAAGGGTAATGCCACCCTGCTACCTCCCCCAAGCCTCATTCATTCTCTACTCCCTCTATCATGTTTTTTCTTCCATGAATCCACTTCTATCATATCCCCTATGTTTATTTGTTTATTATACATTTCCACCTACTCAAGTATAAACTTTGGAAGGACAAAGTTCAATGCTGTTCTTCTGTGCTTAGAACAGTACCTGGCACATGACAAACAATAAACACTTTTTGAAATAATAAATCAAGTGATGACTTTACTTCACTTTGGGATTGTGTTTCACTTGAGTAAGGATGCTGAAGAGCTCACTTCAAGGTAACTTATCAGTTACTGCAGATTTAACTATATCATTCTGGTTTTTTTTTTTTTTTTTTGTAAGACAGGGTTCCTCCATGTTGCCCAGGCTGGTCTTGAACTCCTGGGCTCAAATGATCCACCTGCCTTGGCCTCCCGAAGTGCTGGGACTAGAGGCATGAACCACTGCATCCAGCCTATAATTCTTAAGAAATTTCTAGGGACCTATCTCCTTTTATTCATATATACACAGCCCATGAGTTTCACCAGGAATATATATCCATAGGTCTCTCTATGTATTTTAAAGAACTTAGCAAATACTACTCTTACCAATTATTGCTTTCAGATGATAAAAGTAAAAACAGATGCAAAAGAGCAAATAGGAAGCAAAACCCTCTAATCCTAAATCCAGTATCATAATGTTTAAACTTCGTTGCTATTTTTCAATAAATCTAAAAAAATATAATTTAGAATACAATTAATCAAACACACAGTTTCTGCTTTTCTACCTGAGTCAATTGTCAGTCAATGAAAACCTATAATCAAATAACCTTTGGCCAGATTTTCAGATTAAAGCAACCTTTGGTTGTAGACAATGCCATTTACACTTGAGGCACTTTACTTACACTTAGGCTGGTGAAACACAAATCCGATAGGGTGTTCTTCTCCACCCATGTAGTACTTTAAGTTGCTTTTAATGAGCAAGCACTTATGTATTTCTAGATAACATAGTGGGAGTTCCCTAGGAAATGTCTGCCCAAGAAATTAAAGCCATGTCATGGTAAAGTTGCTCCTGATAATTATGTCTTGGGGAAGAGGGGAGTAGAGGAGGGGAGAAGTAATCCTTGACTACATGTGAGGTAGGAAAGCAATGAATGGAGTGGGAAAAACAGAATTTTTCATTCAAAAGCATATAGAATAATCAGTTACAGGTGGAAAAGGGAAAAAACAAACTGTTTCCATATTGTTTTAGAATGTGTGTGTAAGTGTGTGTGTGTGTAATTTATAAATAAAGCTCTCCATCTTATATCTAGGGAATGGGTAAAAAAAAACACACACACATCTTATTCCCCATCAGGCTCATACAGAAGTTACTCCCACCAATCTTAAACCCTTTAAAGTAGTTACCTTTCCCCTCATAGCTCACTTCCCATGACAAATAATGGGAATGAGCAGCTGAACACCAACCCTTACCAGAGCCAGGCTGTGCTTTTTTTGTACTGCACCTCCTCAGGTCCTTCTTTTCCATGTTTTAACTGTAACTCCAGCTCTCCCAGTCTTCCCTGCAAAAAATCATAGCATAAATCAGCATGCAAACTCAATGGCTGAAGTGATGTTAAAATTTCTTTGGAACACAGATATATCCTTTTCCATTTGGCCTTAAGTGTTCCTGACAGAATATCAGATTATGAAAGAGGATGTGTGAGGAAAAATCACATCAATACTCAGGTATTTTTACATTCACTAGAGGTAACATCCTAGAAAAGTTGTAGGTTTGGCAAATGTAGTGCATAGAATTTCATTTTGAGATACATATCTAATCGAATTTGAATTTCAGTGGCCCCATTTATCAAATCTCCTACATACTAGTGAATCTGCCTTTGTTAGCAACTGAAAATTTTAGCTAACATCAAAATATACCAAGATTGAAGGCTATATACCAGTATTATAACAGAAAAGGAGAAAACAAGTTAGATAAAGTATACACCACTTAAGATTCAGGTACGATACAACTTAAGTTATTCTCCAATTGCTCCACATTACACTTGTATTTCTTGAGTGAACTCATACAAATAGATACCATAATTCCCAGTTTCTACCTTGTGATAAAAATACAGCTAAAATTGTCCCTTTAAGTCAAAGTCCTTTAAATATGTATTATCTTTTCCATTTTCTTACTCAGAATTATTTTAATTAGATGATTTCCCCTCTACTCCATCACCAATTACATTATCTAAATGTAATTAAAATACTATTTTGTTGATGGGCCCCAACTCGGACAGGAATTCAGCAGTGTAATGCCCAACCGTTATTGGAAGCAGATGGCCCAGTTTACATCTCACAAGCAGTAAACAAAAGTTCTGGTTACTTCACATTCTCACCAGCATTTGGAATTGCCAAGCTTTTAATTTTTATCATTTTGATGGATATGAAATGGTCTTCATGATGGTTTTAATGTTATTATTGTTTACTAATGAGACTGTTTACTAATATATTGAGATATATTCTATAGAAGAAAAGTTTGTATCTCTCCATACTCAGAAAAGTGATACATATTGAAGAGTTTAGGATGTGGGCTCAGAACGCCTCGGCCTAATGCCATTTACACTTACTGGCTGTGTAAATTTAGGCCAGTTACTTCACTTCTCTAAGCTTCAGTTTCCTCATTTGTAAAATGTGGCCAACAAATATCTCATGGTATTAAAGTATCACATAAAATAACGTAAAAAAAATTGTCTATTGAACACAGTGCCTAATAACAAATAATAGCTACCATTATCAGATTTGTTGTCAATAACCAAAGATCTCTATCTCCCTCTTATTTTCTTATAAAACCATCTTTCATGAATTTATCTAAATATCTCCTGAAATAATTCATATTTTTATCTGTATAATCTCATGAAGTAAGAGGTTCCAAAAACGTAGTATCCAGACTATAAAGTTATATGGCCTTGTACTTCTCACAGTTACTCACCCTGTGAGGGCAAGGACTATTTATCAGTCTACAGAGTTTGTGTATTTGAGTCAGTTCCTGACTCACCGTACCCTGGGGCTCACCAGTGCAGGCACTCTGAGATGTAAGGGACACTCTACTCACATCCTTCACAGTTTGTTTGCTTCTATCATATACATCCTCATTCCCCACACTTTCAAATATGGAATTCTGGCCCTTTCATTCTACCTTTGTCTCTTGGAAACTACAAAGATATTAATATTGGCCACCCAGGAGTCCAGGCAAAACACAGAATAACATAATTTTTATTGCCTGTCTCAGTTATGCTTCTTAAATTATTCCTCTTTACTCCAAAAACATTTCCTAAAATGGCTTTCCAAAAAAGACAAAGGACAAGAAATTAAAAGGTTAAAATCCGTTTAAAAATAAAACAAGAAAACTAGAATATGCACACCTTCTTAAGAAGGCCTACCATTCTAATCTTCCCTGCAGTCATAAACCAGCACAACCATTCTATTGTGACTAAATAGTTTTCATGTCTTTTTTTCTTTCTGAGTCTCTGTTCTTTTCTATCCCCTTTTCTCAAATGTCTCCCTAATCCCTGCCACCCAATCTATGTTGGGCTTTTTACTCAGATCCATGTTGCCTTCCAATTCTTGACTTATTGGTAATAGAGAGATTCAGCAGCATTCAACTCAGTCATCTCTGCTTTCTGATTAACATTTGTGGTTAAGAGTGGAAAACACTTATGGGAACAAAATGGCTAAAGTGATCACCTGAATTGAGGTTTTTGGATTGCCTATAAGTTCCAATGATTAATCTAGCTATCCCCTCTGATTTTTTTTTCTCTAGCCTATACCATAAGAACTTGCTGATTATAGTAAGCAATTTCACCTAGCTTCCTACACATTTAAAACAAAACAAACATATACACACAAAAAAGGGGGAAAAAATATATAAATTGTCATAGAATATCGTACTGGAAGCTGCAGTTCCTGACCTGGGCTCCAACTTCAGACTATTTGGCAACTACCTGGTCAATTCAGGAAAAATCTCTAGAGGCAATGTGCTTTCATACCTCTCTCCTGTTTGAGGCCATATTCACAATTCCAAAGAGCCCTTTTCACAAAGGCTGGAGACCTTAACCTCCTTAGTATCCCAGAAGGGTAACAAGATAAAGACTCCCAGAGGGCTCCTAACCGAAATGGCCTCTGTACTGTCAATTGGCTTCTATCTTCATTTTTCATCTTAATGAGAAGAAATCTAAATACCTCTCCATGTCAACCACTTTGAAACGCTTATAGTTAAAAACTCCAAGTTCCTGTGGAAAAATTAGGTAAGACTTGAAGCAGACATCTAAGCAGAAGCTACTAGTAGTGTTCAGATCTCAGACTTAATCATATCCCACTTAACTTCCAGGAAGTAACAGAGAATGTACCTTTTAGCATGTTTCCTAGGCTTAACTGAATAAAACATGGCTTCTCTAAATGATCCTCTAGTTTAATGCTAAAAAGTATGTCTAGCACCAGATGGAAGTAACTGTAATTCTTGTACAGAAAAAGTGTCTTCTAGGACAGAAATTCTTGATATAGACAAGGAGTCTGGCAGTTGCTCCAATTATTCTAAGATATCATAAACTCTTTTTAAGTGTGTGGACTCATTTAAAAAACTTGTTTAAGCATAAAAGCATCAGTGTACTTTCAAGTAATAGTGATAGCCTAAAACACATTGCTGTACTTTTAATACTGCAAATCTTATTGTAATCCATCCCTTTACTTTCTCTTCTTTTGTCACCAATTCTCAGTGGAATTGGACTTAACTAGAAATCCAAAGTAAAGAGATTTTAAATGATAAATTAAGATATAAACCATCACCTTCATATCGGAATAACTGACCTGCAGTACTAAAACTTATGAAAAATCCACAGATTTTTTCACAGATCAAATAGATCTCCCTTTAAAATATTAAACAAATTCCCATTTATTATAACAATTAATAACAACATTAGGGAAAATACATGGCACTGTGGAAAAGGCTAAGGGTCTGGAGTCAGACAAATCCAGGGTAAATTCCCATACTTTCATTTAGTGCCTGTTGGGTTCTGAGCTGTTTGCTTTGCTTTCCTACCCTGCCTTCCCCATCTATAATCCCATTACACATGGGGTTCATACATCCACTTCAAAGGGTTTCTGTATAGGTTAATTAAAATAATATATGTTAAGTATTGGACACACACTAGCTACTCAACAAACCATAGCTCTTATTTAAAAAAAAAAACATTGCTTTTTTAATCAATTACAAGTCATATGCAGAATTATACTATAATCCTATTCAATTTAGCTTTTCTTACACTAAGAGTTAAATAGAATTCTCACTTCATTCTGCAGGAGGAGGAGCTATTCATCCCTTTCTCCAGGTGCTCATCGCATTTTGAACATCCTTTATTAACACACGAAAGACACTGTACTGGAATTGCTAGTAGGCACGGTAGCCTCCCTCCCTAAACTGGGAGCTCATTGTGAGGAAGGCGTGCCCCTTGGTATCCCACATACTCAGCATGGGACCTGCCCAATAAAACATGTTCCATAAATGTTTGCTGCAGAAAAAAATTCAAAATAACTTGGGGAAAAGTGAATATGAGAAAAATTCCATACTCTGACTTGCAATCTTAGGCTTCTTGACTAAAAACTGTAATTGGCTAAGGGTGTGTTTAACGATGTTAAAGAAATATACAGACATGAGTCATTCGTTCATTCACTCATGCATTTATCCAAAACATGCTGGGTGCCCAGATGCTGCTAAAGATAAAAACTGAGTAAGGAAACAAGAAGAAAAAGAAAATGATAGTTCCAAAGGAACATCTTTAAAATGTAGATTACAGTACATTTAGGGGATCTTGTAAAGCAGTTTGCTCTAAGTTTGGCTGGTAGACTACATGGATTTAAGTCACCTGGCAGCTTGTAAAACATGAAGACTCCTGGTCCCCTATTCAGTTCTAATGAATCAGAAACTATGAAAACATATTAGTGTTTTATAAGTTCTAGGATCAATAAGATGAGTTGCAAAAAAGCTTTAATTTGAGATTAGAACACCATTGCCCAGTCATTCCTCTCACCCCATCCTACGCCCCACTCTCACTGTCCCCATCATTTTATTAGCCAGCTGTAATCTCTAACCACAATATCGCACTTCTAAGCCTCCATGAAAATCTTATTCTGGTGCATAAATTACTTAAGTAGCATCAGATTTTTTCTATTATCCTTAATAATCAATTTTAAGCTAGGAAAAACAATTAAGCTAGTTGTTTTCTTATATTACCTGTGTATATTCCCCAAGTGATTAAAAATAACTTCTAATTTTAAAAATTCACAAACTATAACTTATAACATTACTGGATCAAATAAAGTCAAACTGAGTATATCTCATTCATTTAGTGAACACCTGGTATGTTTAGACACTTATGTCTGGGGTCAGAGACAACAGAGCTCTTGCCCTTAGAAGCACAGAGACAACTGGAGGTTTCTGACAAATAACTAACATACGGCTTCAAAAAGGGAAGCTCAGATACTAAGAAAGTACACAAGAAGGGCATATAATCCAGTAGAGGGAGGAGTAAGGCACACAGTGCCTCTCCAGATAAATTGATCCAAAGAACAAGTATAAATCAGGTGGGTAAAGAGGGAATGGCAGGGTCAGAGACAGAAAGAATAGTGTGTATAAAAGCTAAGAGGTTCTTAAAGGCATTTGAGTTCAGGAAAACAAAGAAATTTAACAAGACTGAAACATAAAAATCTGGGGGAAGGGTTAAGAGATCAGGCTGGAGATGTAAGTAAGTCCAGAGTGAGGAAGCACAGGTGTGTATAAAGGAAAAAGATGAGCTCAGTTTGGGATGCACTCAAGTCAGGTGCTATGGGGCAGCCAAGTGGGGATGCCCAGAAGGCAGCAGGGGTGAGGAGAGTGGCACTCAGGAAGGAGCTCTGGATGGGAGACACAGATTTGGGGGGCATCGACATTTAACTTTAAGTGCGGCAATGCATATACACACACACACACACACACACACACACACACACACACACACACATATATGCCTCACATTCTTTTATGAGTAAAAATAACTATCACATTTTTAGTAGTGCTGCTTTCCCAAGTGCTTTTATATTAAATACACATTTGCAGTAAAATGTGAGATAAGGAAACACTTCCTCAAAGCAAACCTAATCTGTAGTTTCATTACCTGTAAAATGGCATGATAAGCTCGATTCATATACGCAAGCCAGGCCTGTGGAAGAAAAATCGCACGGTGCCACTCCGAAAGCTGGATATGAACCTGTGGGAAAAATGTACCACAGCATGTTAGACTACACAGTATTAAAATAGAATAAAATTAAAACTGTATCATCAATTGTTTCTTTTCCTTTATTTAAGTGTTTTAGGTTCTGAAAACAAACCAAATCAGTCTAGGATCAGAACCACACATAATATCTTTTGGATATTCCTAAGTAGAAGAGTGTAGAGTTTTGTGAAGACAAAGTAAGCCTAGAATTTTGTAAATTGAAGCAAATACAATCCTACAATAACAAGTTAAAATGTACATGTAATACAAATCTGTCCTTGAAAATTAGGGGGAAACTCTGTAAGGCCTCTTGCCAATGTCAGGAAACTAGGCATTGTCTAAAAAATCCCCCTAGTAATTTTAAATAAAAATAAATATTGCTCATATCCTGTATTTCCAATATGACCATTCTGAAGTAATAAACTTACACTGCCAACAGAAATATCATGTTGTAGAGAAACCACAGTGGTAAGAGCATGCAAATGAGTACCACACACAGTAATTGTACACACCACTAGATAAATGGCCTTTAATCAGTGTGGGTAAACAAGAGAAAAATTATATATGCCAAGATGGAAACCCTATTTCTCAACAGAGGCCCAGACAAAACATCTGGTTTTCATAGTCATTTCTGTTTCTACCTATTAGTATATGGCTATCTTGCAACAAATCTTCCCAAGGTCTGCTTCTGTTAAAGGAAGATCAAACAAGAAAAACAGTCACAGTGCATCACATTTCATGATGCCTGTAACACATCGAAAGTCAAACAGCTAAAACTTTAGTTTGTGTCCTGTAGACCAAAAAAAATAGTGTTTAAGAACATTTTACTGTATTATAAAAATTAATATTCTCAAGGGCCTTGTGATAGGGAAGAAGACAATAGCCTTTCTGAATATAGTTGGTTCCCATTGCCTCTGTTATGTTCTTTAATTCCAGTCTTAGTGAAGGCCTACTACATACAAGGTACTGTAAAAGATAAGAGGATTATCAATCAGTCTGTGTATGCTTAGAGTTTTCCACCTAGAGAGAGACCCAGAAATTGACACAAATAGATTATAAGGCAGAATTATGATGAATCCATGGGTATAAAGAGAACAAAAAGATTAATTCTGACTGCTATCTATTACTTCTCATGGCATTGCTGTTTTTTTTTAAAAAAAAAAAAAGGATCTCAAACAGTATGATAGATACTCAGGTCATGAAATGAACTTAAAAGTAATTATAAAGACAGGACTTTTCCTGAGTAAGTACTACAGCGAGCAGCATGAGGGGAGACTTTTCAATTCACCAACAAAAATCCTTGAAAGAATGAGTCCTCCAGCTCCCGATTCTTTTCCTGTTGTCCAGGAAGCAAACCACAACCTGGGCTCTATTTTCAGCTGGGGAGGCATTAATCAGGTCTTGGCTCTGCTCTTTGTTTCCAAAATGTGGGCAACCTTCTTTAACTTTTTTCCTGTCAGTTGTGTTCCCTTTTCATAAAATGTTAATTATCTTCAAGCCCTATTCTGACACCTGGATTTAACAGAAAGAATACCCAATCACCACAACCAAAACGTTTATCTCTTACTTTAAAAATCTTAAAATATTTCTAAATTTTTGCCAAATAATCATTGTACTACTGAAAACACCCTAAGCCTCAGCAAATTGGCAAAAAGAGCAATTTGCATGGAAGACAATGGTCTTACAATTGCTTTTTATACTGGAGTTTAAAAAAGGAAAGGATTATGAAAAAAATGTAAATGGAAATGAGCAAATCAAATGTTCAGCTTCTAAACATGAAAACATTCATGCCAGGAAACCTATTTAAAAGGAGGTTATAAACTCAAGGTTAAAGCTAATCCTCTTCCTGCTGCTTCAACCACAGCTGAAGGTGGGTGCAGGAGTGCAGAATGCTTCAGCCTAGATGGCAGCCTGAACTCCCCATGTTTTATGGGATTATGCCCTAGTCTTAGTGTTCTATGGAGTCAGCTGTGCACAAATCTCTTTAAAATTGCACTTTCTTGTTTTTTCCCTTAATGAAGACAGACTTTAGAGAAACAGCTTGAAGAAAGCCATGCCCTTACATTCCCATTGTGTCACAGGCAAAAAGGACTTCCCTGACCATTTTTAACAAAAACACATTTTAGAATGCTATTTCAATTTAATATACTGTATAGCCACCCATATTGCCTATGTTTTAGGTTAATGTTGCTAGGGTGAAAGATAAATTCAATTAGCGTGTATAAAGTGTGACAATTATGTACAATTTGCTACACTTGTGAGCAGCTTTTGAAAAAATCCAATCAACAAAATAAGTTCACATCATGAAGTTGCAACCCAGTTATTCTGCAGATGATAAAGTAGGGTTCTCGACCATGGTTTCACTCAGTTTTAAAGAATATGTGAAATTAATTTTTTCTATAAGTACACATACTTATGCAATGACAGCCATCTGACAGAGCATTGAGATCAACAGTCCTGTGGGTACGGAAGAGTAACAGTCAAGTTTCCATGTGTAAGAGGCAGTGAGTTATAATGAAACATTACATCTATGCCCCCCCAAAAAAGACCATGATAAGAAAATACACCTGGGAGAGAAGAATGCTAATGAGGTGAGGGCAGGGATGGGAGCAGCTTACAGGGTTAAACAGGGTGATTAGAGTAGATCTCATTGAGAAGGTGAAGTATGGGCAAAAACTTGGAGGAGGTGAGGACATAAAGGTCAAGGTAAGTGCTAGTGGGAATACAAAATGGTTCAGCTGGTATGGAAAATAGTTTGGTGGTTCCTCAGAAAGTTAAACATAGAAACACCATATGACTGAGCGATTCCACACCTAGGTTTCCCAAAAGAATTGCAAACAGGTATTCAAACATATCATTGTACATGGATGTTCACAGCAGCAATTTCACAACAGCCAAAAGGTAGAAACAATGCAAACGTCCCTCAATGAAAAACTGTAAGAACAAAATATGTGATATGCATATAATGAAATATTATTCAGTCATAAAAAGAATGAAGTACTGACACACTGTGGCTGAACCTTGAAAACATTATGCCAAAGTGAAAGAAGCTATGCACAAAAGGTCACGTATTATATTATTTCACTTTATGAAAATCCAGAATAGGTACAGCCAAACAGACAGAAAGCAGATTAGTAGGAGGGAATAGAAAGGACTGTTTCATGGGTATATGGTTTCATCTGGAGGAGATGAAATGTTTCAGAACTAACATTTCCAAATAGAGGTGACAGTTGTGCAACATTATATATGTACTAAATGCCAGTGAATTGTACACTTCAAAATCCCATTTGTTTTATGTTATGTGAATGCCACCTCAATTTTTAAAAAATGGTAAGGCAAAGGTCCCGGGCAGGCATACAACTGACCTCTTTGAGGAAGAGAAAGGAGGCCAGTCTAACTAGAATAGACAAAATGAGCAAAACGGAGAACAGAAAGAGAAACAGTTAGTGAATTAACGGCAACCCAGAGAATTCAGGGCCTTCTAGGGCACTGTTCAAGACTTGCTTCTATTCTTACTAAAGAGAGAACCATTATAAGGTTTTGAGGGAAAAAATTACATGATCTAATTTATATTGTAAAAGGACAATGCTGACTGCTCTGCTGACAATAGATTATAGGTAGCAAAGGTCAACACAAGGAAACCTACTCAGAGGCGACATCCACAATCCAGGAAAGAGATAAAGGCAGCTCAGACAGAGCTGTATCACTAACACAGTAGAGTGATGATTTTCAAACGTTTAATTATATAATTTTTCTAACCTATCCAAAATGCAATATAAAGTAAAATGTCAATATATCAGACAAAAAAGTGAAGCAAAAGTTGTCTAGATGAAGTGAGGTTAAAAGCTAGGAGCCTGGAGTTCAGCCCTCTTGGTCATTTGAGGTTGTCAGGAGATGGAGGCAGGGAAAGCGACTGACTACGAAGGAGCATGGGGAAATGTTTGAGGGTAGTAGAACAATTCTAATCTTGACCATGGTGCTGCTTGGAGGAATGTGTGCACTTGCCAAAATTCATAGAACTAGACAGTAAAATGGGAGAACTCTAGTGTATTCATATTATACCCAAATAAAATTTAAAATACCTAGTTTGAAAATTCCCAAGTTTTAGAACATGTACTTCTCAAACTTTCAACTCTCACCATCTATTAGGCTTTGCACACTTATTTGCCATTATCATTTAAAATCTAGTCTTCCTGTTATCTTTTCTGTTCCTGTCAATATTATCTATCAATATTTCAGTTAACCAGGTTTGAAATTCCTAACTTATCTTGGGAATCTCCCTGGCCTTGAGACTCAATTCTTGAATCTACTTCTGAAATATTTATTACATATGCCCCAACTTTTTCCTTTATTGGTTCAGTCCTATCTGATTTCTGCCTAGATTACTATGATGCCATGTAACTGATTTTTTCACAGCTTAAAATCTTTCCTTGTCCTAACCCATCACCAATGGTGCTGCTCTTACTGTTAATACATTAACTCAGAACTTTAAAAAAAACCTTTGATGGTTCATTAAAGAAAAAAGCCCAAACTCTTTTACATAATGTTCAAAGTCTTTTAGTATTACTTAAAGAAATAACTGCTGGCCAAGATCTTCAACCAATTTCTCCACCTGATGCCTTGCTCCTCTCTTTTATATAAGGTATATTCTAGCTGCATTGAATTACGAACTGATTCCCAAGCTTGGCTTATCCTTCACAGGACCTTTGTACCCACTGCTTCCTCTGCCTTGAATGACTCATTTTCCACTCATTTCTACTTACTAATTTCTCTCATCTCCATATTTTCAGTACATCTGTGCCATCCCATAATACTCAACAGATTCTGTCTTTAGATCTTCATCTCATACAATCATAAGGAGCAGAGGTCATGTCCTATTCATGCTGGAATCCCTCCCATGGTACCCGTAACAGTGTCTAGAACATAAGTGTTCAATTAAGTACCTGCTGAGTTTAACAGAATTAAATATGTAGCATTCTCTTTAAGACAAATTC